TGAATATTATCACCGATAATATTCTTAATTGTGGTGCTCGACTGGATTATGCGTCAGATTATGCACCGGAAGCGATGACACAGGAATTCGCTGGACCACAGATAAGAAGACTCAAGAAGATTTGGATTTCACAGATGACATATATCTAACGTCACACAAACTCGAAGACTTACAGGCGAAAATTCACAAACTGGATGAATAAACAGCAAGATAAGACATAGAGAAGACGGTAGTAATGAAGATAAAAAACCAACCAACAACAACCAGCACCAATCACCATCAATGGGAGAGATTTAACAGAGGTTACCTCCTTCACTTATCTAGGCAGTAGGCATCGTTTCAACTACAGGCAGCCGGAACGGATGAAGATATGAAAGTCAACCAGCCAGAATCAGAAAGACAAAATAAGCAATCACCAATCTGAAACCAGTTTTGGTCAGCTGGCCAGAAAGAATTAGTAACAAAAAACTCTGGCTGAGAACAAACCAACGAAGATCCAAATCTCTCAACAAATATGTAGAAAGAAATGGAGATGGATCGGGCATATATTGGGGAGGCCGTCAAATGACATCGCGTGCAATCCAGGCCATTGTTTGAGTGAAATCCGAATGAGAAGCGACGATAAGGACGTCGGTGTGAGGGTGGCATGGAGGAGATCGTGTAGCGACGACGAGGAGGAGTAGATGAGCGATCGAGGGGTAAGCTGAAGAGGACCTCAGAAAATGGGACAAAATGAAAGCGTTTTATTTAAGCTCTGTTTTCCACTTGGAAACCAAAGGAATAATAATAATATAATAAGTTTGACCATAAGCATCGTTGTGAAAAAATTACATGAAAATGTGTTACTCACTCCAGGTATTTTTTAGAAAATTATAATAAGTCATGGTGTGTATTAAAAGTAAGAGGATTACATGTTGTTGAGAACATGTATGCATCCGTTTGAGAACATTTGTGATGATGGTATGCAACTGTGAAGATAATAACAGATAGTTGACAAACACTAGTTACTACGTACTACTGAGTGAACGAGTTGAATAGTTGAATAGCAATCACATCAACCAATAGTGCTTACTAGTCAAATCCAAGTGATATAAATACCAGATGGTTGTTTCGCTCCTTCAGAGCCACGTTCATCAGCACTGTCCCCAGATGGGCCCAAGTCACAGAGCGAAATCAGTTCACACCATCCGATTTCTATCTTAAATCTAATTGGCAGTTTGCAAATTGAAATTGCAAGGAATTTTCAGGTACATACAGGTACATTCATATAATTCCTACTGAATAATAAGTGATCAATTTTTTGCTGATTTTACTCATTGTCTTAAATTAATTTTATCTTAAAAGAAATTTGAGAGACGAATCTGAGTGTGACTTTATACAGATATGCAACATTTCAGGTTGTCACACACAGTAGTAGAGAATATAAATGCTATGAAACTGCAACAAATGAGAGGTGTATGGGGAGGATGAGTGGCGATGAAAATGATTTAATGGAGATTAGTAACGATGACTGAAGCCTACGAAGAGTGAAGATATCTAAGCAGTTGTAAACGATTTCGCACTTTACCGTCAACAATCCTCAACTATCGGTTCTTAACGTCCAATGAGCTACAGACGTCCTCTACACTCCTTCAAACATGATTCAAGTCAATAATCAGTGAACTGTCGACATATTTTGATCTTAACAATCGTATTGTATTGCATACCCTATCTAGTAGAAAAATGTTAATAATGATGAGTGTAATTAGTGAAGCCGAAAGTGAACGCCAGATCGCAGAAAATTTAATGCATCAAATCCACTCAGTGTATCCGTACATCTTTAGATTTTATTTACCTCACTGTATTTATACGTCAGTAGTTTACTGATAGAATCCTCAGCAGTGATGCAGGAGGTGCGGATTAGATTTTTGACCGATATGCTTCTAACCCCCGCTGGTAATAAGCTTTGAAGATGGGGAAAGTTGATCATGAGGCTAGCATCTTAAACTCATAAGACAACAGCATGATTACTGAAACTTCAAAGCTTAAAGCTTGAAGTTATATTTTCCACCTGGAATCTGAGAAAGGTAAAAAGGTATCAGTTTGTGACACTATTGAAATACAGGGTGTCAAGGAACTTAACCCTAAGTTCCTATTATTTGCAAAGACGCTCCGAACCGATAATTACTATGTATGTTTCTCGACTTTAACTCCAAAACACCAGTACTTGTTAGAAGGTTATATTGTTTGGCGATTAAAATCAAAATAGTTACAAGTCTATAAACAAATGTTTTATACTAAATATAATGTACTTTTATTCGTATTCTTTCTTCTTCTTCTTCTTCCAACTTGTACACGATTGAACCATTCGCGCCTTCGAGTTGCCCGCCAGTGGCTACCAGTTCCAATAAACAAATATTCAGTGTTCGCGTCCATTGACATAGGGCTTCAATAGCACATCTCTATTTCATCCTGTTCTCTGAAGTCCTGTTCAGCTGACTTCACGACTGTCTATAGGCTGTCATCCCCTTCTCACACGATCTCTTCCACGTCACCCTACGATGCCCAACTAGTCGTCTTTCATTCAAGTTCCCCTAGAGAGCTGCCCTGGTATATGATGTCAGTCAATGGTCTCTTCAGTGTGTGCCGAGCCCTATCTATTTTCTTCCACGTATTTATTGGGCAATGGACTCTCTTATCTATCCTAATTTTCTTCGATCTTCTCTAGTTCTTACATATCTTGCTAATATCAGGGGAATTTTTCTTCAGCTTTCTGCATGAGGAAGATATGTATTTCTAAGAAAGGGAGGAAGTAACCCCTATTTTCTTGTGGGTTTATTTCTTTTCTGTAAATCTGTAAGTTATTCTCCTTCAACTTATATTTTACACTGATGAGAATATTTGAAATTTGCAATATTCATGTCTACTTGTCAAGATTCCTTAAGATTATTGATTAAGTGCTTTGTTTATAGTCTTAATCAGTAGATAAAAACCTCTTGTGTTCAATATTTTGCACTAGTGATTATCAAATGAAATCAAGTCTGATTTAATAATATATATATATAATGAAAGCAGTTCAAACAGAATCTAAGAATTTATTCAAAATTTCGAACAGTAAGGATGTGTTTACTCTTCTTAAAACCTTATTTCACTAAATAGACTTCTTGGTGCAAATACCACCGCCTAGTATGAGAAATTCAAAGCCATTCAAGTCAGACATTAGCGATTTCTAGCCATATTGAAGTGGTCTTAACACCGTGCGGGTGTGGCGCTGGTTCAGAGCTGAGCTCATCAGCTAGACACACAGACTGATTTAGCTCAAAGAGAGGAGTCCGCCACCTGCCGACTATTAATATTGTTTCCTTTAGTTTCTAAAGGAACATAGGACTTCACCCACACGTCCCCATTCCGTTCTCTTGTCAGACAATGTTTTCACCTGGCTCCACGTCTACCCACATGCTTTCATCTCCTCTTCACCTGATAGCCTCCATATCACCCCACCTTCTCACTGACGACCACCTCGCGCTTCCCATTCGACTTCCACTCGAGCGGTGGCCTGGTGTGTGATGTCACTCACTTGATGGTTTGTTTTCTCAGAGTATGGACAATCCACCTCAATTTCTGCCTGCATATTTGTTACACAATCGGTCACCGTTGGGTTGGTTCGTTCATTGCCAGAGATCCCTGTGTCGGTGATCTTTCATGGCCGACCATCTGATCTTGAGTGGTATTGAGCGAATACAGTTGTTGATGAAGATGTGTAGTTGGTTCGAAGTGGCCTTCGTGACGCAGTGTCAAGTCTATGATCCCTATAGTAAGTAGCACTGACTTCACATTGGAAATGGAAATCCGGATCTTATTTTCATGTTCACACTGAGTACTGCTGATCTTCACACAGACCTGATAGTAATGAAAGCTTGCCTTGCTTTGTCGATCCTGATTGCTTTGAGATCCTCATCATTTCCGTCCACCTGTAGTTGGAACGATGCTTCCCAGGTAGGTAGATAGGTAGGTGAAGGAGGTTGCTTCTTTCAGATTCCTCCCATTTATGCTGGCCGATTGTTGTCTGTTGTTGCTGTTGCTGTTGGCCAGGAATCTTCATCACCTACCTCTGTTTTCTCTATGTTCACCTTAATTCTTATCCTCTCTGGATGCTTCTTCTGACAACTTAATGCTCTCCACTTGCATGTCTTCCGGTTTGTGGGAAATCAGAAATACGTCATCGGAGAAATCCGAATCCTACAACTTTGTTTTTGTGTGGGTCCATTTTATGCCTGTTTTCTCGCTGCCCACCGCTATCTGTCTGTCGCATTATCCAGTCTACCGCCGGTAATCAGAAAAATCATTGCAGATAGTAGGCAGACAGCCGGCTTGTCTTACTCCCGTCTTCACTTCTAAGCATTCCGTGAGTTTCCCGTTGTGGATTACTTGGCATGCAACTGTTGGGTGAGATGTATAATTGTTGCTTGCCGATTAGATTAATTCGATATGATCATAAAGTATCCCTCCTAGACATGACTTGGTTTTACACTACTCATATCAACCCGTTAGTAGTGGACATCACCATTTCAATTTACTTGCTTTGTCGTTTAATATTTAACGTGACAAGCAGATTACTTATTGTCGTCTGTATAATTTTGGTTTTCAAAGGAAACTGTGACGAATACTCACCTTGAATTGTACCAAAACTGCCATTTATCACTAATGTGTAACATCTCATAAAACCAACTTAATTGTCAGCAGTACTTTCAAGTTTTCAATGAAAATTCAAGAAGTCTATCTTTAAGCTAGCTATAAATTATACCAGAGTTGATATTTGTCTGCGGCCTTTATTAAAAATGGATAATCTACAAATTGCAAGCAAAATGACTGTTTAACATTCTTTAATTTTCATTACTTCAGTAGTTAAAAACGATCACTGATGAAAACCACTTAGAAACCAATGAATATTTTGAGAGGAAACCCCTTATGTATTAGAAACTTTCTAATCTTTTACTTTTGTTTTCATTTGATTTCTTTAGATTAGTTTTATTCAAGTTTAGTTTCTTTTTATTTCATCTCTATTAATGAGCCTATGAGAGTCTTATTTCGAAGAAGACTAGCTCCGTTAGTCACAGTGTCTCAGTCAAACAATTGTGGCATTACAAGGTCGTGTAATGCGACAAAAATTAACTATGAAAATTATGACTACTGGACACTACAACAGACAGATTCAACTGAGCCGAAATGTACTCCAGGTAAGTATGAGTTGTAATTTATGTCCATAAATTAGTTCCCTTCAACATGAATCCAGTCTCCCCTTTTAACAGCATGTTTTGTTTTCAAAATATGTCACTAAAGTTAACTTAGGAGTAATTAATATTAGATGCTTGGAGGTAATCGGAAGGAAGCTTTGGACCTAAGTTTCATGCTAGTTGGTAATCGTCAGCAAGGCGTATCTGCAACCTTGAAGGAGCTAATATCTTTTCTGAGATTCGAATCCGCGTCACCCAGTGCTGCAGTCAGAGACGTTACCACTGAGCTATTCGAGCGCGCGTTTTACTTCCTGTAGGACTGTAGTTGATATTTTGATTTGACACTAGTAACTAGTGTGATGCGTCTAGTCCTCTCTTTGGTATAGACTGAATTCTATCAGCTAGGTTTGTAATGTGGTCACCATTCTAGGTAGCTCGCCATCACGGTGCTTCCTGCCGATTGCATTCAACCATCTAATATCATCAAATCAACGTTCACCGTGATGGCGAGCTACCTAGAATGGTAGCCACATTACAAACCTGACTGATAGAATTCAATCTGCACCAAAGAGAGGACTAGACACATCACACTAATTACTAGTGTTAAATCAAAGTAATCAATATTGTTTATCTGTTCTTGTAATTCAATTGTTATTGTTCCCTTGAGTTCTGAGTGGACCATATGGATTTAGCAACACACTGTCATTTTACCCTGTTCATTGCAGTCCTTTTCAGTTGGCCTCACGATTCCTTCTCCTCTATATCGGCCTCGGACACACGCCCATCTAAACTGTCGCTTTAAATTCTAACTCCACTCTAGGTCCTGGCGCGTGATGTCACCCAGCAGTCCCCTCAACATGTGTTCGATGCATCTCCATTTTTCTCACTGTCAATTTAATTAGTCTTCTACACATCTGGACCAAATTGATTAGGCACCATGAACGGATGTCTTGATGTCATCTTCACTGCTAATTTTCTAATTACTTTTGTGGCGGTGGTAGTTAACAGTTAAATAAAGGACTGTAGTACCATACAATTTAGGACTGATTAGTTAAGAGATGTAAAATAATATGAGTGATTCATTTGTGGGACGGTTGCAAAGTTTCAAGTGGCAATCAGAGGTTACCGAGAGAGTTTAAAATGTTATTACAGACCTAAGTAATACAGAATTTGGTATGTCTTTTTCCTTAATATTACCTATTAGGCATCAGTGGACAGAAAGCCATGAACTTATATTTCATTTTGTCTTTCATTCATCAGAAATGTGCAAGACATTCCAAATCGTTGTAGTGTCAATTAGTTTACTGATGATACATTCCACAGAACCCCATAACATAAAAAAACTACATACGTGTATTTATTTTCGTCGAGAAACAGGTTAATGTACAACGTCATTTATCAATGTATTGTTCCTAAATCTTTCCCAACTTTTTGAAACTTAGGTATCCAACCCTTCGATGCAAGTAATAGTTTACTATCTCAAACTCTGACAGAAACAGATTATTCAAATGATAATGAATTAGCGAATATGAAATGTTGTACCATTGAGACAACTGAAGACTGTTCACAGATGGATGAATTAAAATCCTGTGAAGTAGAAGATAAATCAAATTCTCTTGATAATGAATCATTAGAGACAACATCATCGGCAACAACAACAACAACAACAACTACAACCGCTGAAACAACAGACTGCTCTAATCCTGATCAGTTACAAATACCTGGAAATGATGAATCCCATCACACAGACAATCATAACAATACAGTGTCTAAAAGCAACGAACTCAGTAAAACACGAGTAGCACAAAGGAAAGTTTCGAAATCATCCTCTTTTTCTGTTACAACAAATGTTGTTAGCCAACGTAAATCAATACAACAGTGTAAAACTGAACGTTATCGTAGCGTTATAGAATCGCTTACAGGTGTTGGTAAAGCCAGTCAGCTATCAGTAGAACGTTTAAAAGCAGCTAGAGATGAAGTTGAGGAAGCTATAAAAGTTAGTTAGAGTGTAATACTGTTTTTTTTCTTCTTTACCTATTGTGTTTTAAAATTAGGAAAAGCAAACACGGTTCTAATCACTTAATGATAAATTACTATTGACTGTTATATTTAACCAACATGGGTTTGGTATCATATTGACGGGAGTTAAAATTCATCGGCAGTCAGAGATCCCGTTCCAATGACATGATGGTTACGTGCTCACCTCTGGACCTAAAGGTTCTAGATTCGATCCTTAATTCTGTCATGAGTGCGTACTTATACGGCAAAAAAAAAACAACTGTCTCGTTGTCCTTAGTTTTCTCTGGTTCTCTAACTGATGTCAGTTTCTGAGGAAGTTTAGTGTGAAATAAACAAAGTTATCCATATTAATATATGAATGAATGGAGTCAGTAATAAATCCCGCTAGATTTTTGTAGGCGTACAAAGAAATGAACAAAAATTTAACAAGTTGATCAGGAAATTTTGACGCGCGGTGACATCGGTAAAGGGTAGTGAAAATAATTAGATAAGACACAGTGGTTAAATGTCAATAAAACTGATTATTTATAAAATAACTAGATGATAAATTAAACGAAAAGTACAACAATGTTGTTTCCTTTGCATAATTCTCCTTCAGTGATATCTCACTACAGAAACATTTTAATATAACAGTTGTAAATGCTGATTAGAATTTAATCAAGAAACAAGATGAAGTGACGCACGACCTATTAAGCATGAATGACAATTTCTAATGCATCTGGGAACAATTATACTTTTAATATCACTTAAGTCTTCTGGAGTCATCCTTTCAGTTTTTAAGATAAGATTCATTTTAATAATGTTATTTTGGTGATCATTTTATAATAGTGCTGATTCGTGATTTAAGTACGACCATCAGTCAATGTCACCAGTGATTATATGTCTTCCCTCCTGACAGGATGATCCCCAGTGGTCGTGACTTTCCACTGGAACTCCAGATAACTTTGTCAGTCGATCAGTCAGCCAGTCACTGGCAAACATCAGATTAATCTTCAAGAGTTAGAGAACCGTTGGAAACTAAGGAGTACTGGATAGCTGTATCGTCCTAGTTTTGGACTCATCATCGGAATGTATCCGTCGGGGGTTGAACCAAGAACCCTTCAATTACAAGACAAGCTTGTGGACCACCCAACCACTGAGACAGAATCCAACGACCGGCCTGTAAATTCTTACTTACATCACTTCTTGATTTTAGTGTGACCACCAGTCAATGTAATCGGAGAGTATTTGTCTATTCTGGAGAGAGTAAACTGATCTTTGTTACACAAAAGGTTATTTAACTGCAAATATGACGAATCTCAGAAAGTCAGGCTGACTAATGAGCCTTTATACTGGTTACATAAGGTAGGGCTTCTAGGTTATCTAGTCTCCTTCTAATAAATATTCTGCTTTGGCCCAATGGTTAGATTTGTCCAGACTGTTTGGACCTGTCTTAGATTGTATTTGGCTGTTTCAGCTGGTCTCAGCCACTTCTTTTGAGGCAGTAAAAATTAAAAGTTCTTTGCCTTCATTATTCCACGGTTAACTTCAAAATGTCACCGATCTCACTTTAGAAAAACAACTTAAATATGCCAAAGGAATACTATGGAGTCAGCCGTTTTCGCTCCTTAGGATTAGTTATCTTTTGCTTCCCTTGCATAGGGAAAATAGTAAATCATCGGAGTAGCACAGCATAACTATAGTATACTATAAAGTTACTCACCTCACAAATAACAGTGCGGTTATCAGTGCGTTACCTATAATATCAGTATATTAGTTCAACAGGAAATTCTAAAAGCGATAACACTAACACTTGCTTCTATTGAAGGAAGGTGAAATAAAATCTTTGGTGCTCCGGTTAATCAGAAATTTGTTACTTTTCAGACATACATAACCTACTCTCACTTTTGTCTTTATTGTTAATGCAAATATCATTACTTAAGAAGGTTACTAATCGTGATAGTACTCAAAACTGTTTGATTATAAGTGGTATATATACACGTATATATAAATTATTTACTGTTATTCATTCTGAATGAAAACAGAGTCGAAAAATATTTTCAGTACTTGGTCCATATAATCCTATAAGACAAGCATTGAGGACACGTGGTTGGGTTGAAAAATTCGATACTAATAATGGATCCACAGGACAAAATGCACAAGAGACGAGTAAATCAATGAGATCTATCAATGATAATAAAACTTCACGAAGTTATAATTCCTTACAAAATGATACAACAATGGAGGACTCTGAAGACGGTGATTCAGACGATGATGTAACTGCAGCAAATGAAGGTAGGCATATTTTTTATAAATAATGCGGCTTCTTTTAATTGGATGAAGGATTTCATCATGAGCTGATATCAGTTAGAGAGCCATTGGAAAACCTGCAGGGAGTACTGACAGACGGCTATTTCGTTCTAGTTTGGGATTATTCAGCAGTGCGCACCCACCGCCGGGGTTAGAACCCAGGACGTGGCTATAAGGCGAGCTCGTACACTACTGAGCCACTGGGACCCAATGTATTCTTCTATGCGTTACTGCCTTATCTTCAACCTGCGTACTAATGAAGAGTCTCAAATTGGGCCGAGACAGCTGTCTATTACTCCCAGGTTATCCAGTGGTTCCCTAACTGATGTCAGCTCATGATGAAATCCTCCATCCAATCAGATAAAATCCCTACAAAACCAATGCTTTTTTTATTTACTTGTCACCATACACGCGTTGAATTTATAGTTCACTTATTCAGTTAACTACAAAGACAAATGCCACATCGTATTATACATTTGTGATTTTTTTGTGTATTGTGCAACAGTTCACTCAATCTTTTCTTATAGCTGTTCGCAATGGCCTTTGTAAATGAAAGATATAAAGTCACTTTTTGCAGTAGGTGTCTGCCTTCCATCTTTGTTGTTAGGTGGCATAATATCGTCAGTAGTGATGAAGTTAGGCTTAGACCATTAGCCAAAGAGGGAAAGTCAACTGATGAAGTTGTGAAACGGTATCGATTGGGACAGCTAGGATAGTCTCTACGTATACCAAGCTATTTAACTTCCTTATCGAGAAATGTTCTAGCAGGTGTAGCATTGTAAAACAGTTAGAAATCGTCAGATCTAAGATAACAGCATCCATCCACGGAGTTTTTGACTTCTGGTGTGAGCCAAATAAAGGAATGCAGATAATCTGAATAGAGTCTTCATGGTATGAAGAATCAGATTTTGGAGACCTTTGGCTATGTGTCTCAAAATCATTCTCAGTAGAACAGAAGAATTCACTCTTTGTGATCTCCAAGATCCACTGAGTTCCTGCTACTCTTTACCTAATAATTTTTTCACCCATAAGCAACCATTTGTCACAGATTCATTGTATTTCTATTTCTCCTATTCGTATACGCACTTTTAAGAGGTACAGCAACTTGAACTGCTGAAATTTCGTGCAAAGTTATACCATAAAAATTCATTTCAGTTCACTTTTTACTTCTTATATCGATTTTGTAGATGAAACTTCCACTTGGAGCTTTTCTGTACGGAATGTTGCGCGTATAACCTGATAATAATGATGTGTATTTGACTAGAGACAGTAGTTTTAATTCCTTTCGCTTCCAGTGAGAAACTGGGCTTTAAGCTTGAGCACTGAAGTTGCAGTAGGGATTTTGCTTTTTATGCCAGACTTGCTACCGAATAGGGAAGTTTGGGAGTGCGTTGCGGCCGCGGGGGGGGGGGAGGGAATCAAGTCCAGACTACATGCATGGTTGGTAAACATTCCACTGCTGAACCAATGACGCACATTATTATATTTGTAGGCTACCTGAAATGTACATATAACTGCTCAGTGGTAGAAGAACTTTTTAATTCAGTGGTTAAATTTTCGCAAAGCTTTAATATTTGATTGTAAGGGTTTCGTCATCAGACTGGGTAGCATGTTCAGTATTTAAGACATAGAGAAGTGAGTTCTCCTTCTGCTTTTCATTAGCTAATGGATACATGACTATACTGACTAGAGTAAAGGAGAAATCAAATCAAATGTAAATCTACCTGCATTGGGCCCATCTAGATACGAAGTATAAGCTTGTTTATTATCTGAATAAATTACCTAGTGACATTGACATTGAGGTTGAAGAGGGGACTATGAACGACATAGCCCTTCAATTACAATAGGGCAATATGTATAACAACTAAATATCTCGGTATTTCGGTGCTAACAAGCGCAACAGTAAGAAGAAATATTTTGTTAAGTGGTTGCACGCAGCAATTAATGCTAGACACTTGACTATTGATTCGAAATGTCCAGAAAAACAAATATTCATGCGTATGACCTTACAAATGAACTGTATTTCTGTTGATCATTAAAACATATGTACTACTTTACCCGTTTACTAGGTGTAAATTTCATACGCTGAAAATCAAGCAATGAAATACACTCAATTCGTTGTATATATATAGTTCAGAATTTACTGAAATCTTCAAAGTAATCTTAAGTAATCTTTATAAGAAATCAAAAGGTAGCATACATGGGCCATGCTATTTCGTTCCAGTGACTGAGTGGTCAGTGAGCCTGCCTTATATCCTAAAGGTTCTCGGTACGCTACCTGGTGGGGTCATGGGTGCATAATTCTAGATGATTCCGAAAAAGACTAGACAGCTGTCTAGTACACCTTGGTTTTCAACTGTTCTCTAACTGAAGTCAGTTTGTGACCAATCTTGAGGTCATAGAAATTGAATACCTGTCATCAACCCCTTTAACAAAACTGTGAAAGTCAACAAATTATTATTCTACTCAAATATTCAATGAAATAAAATAAAAATTGTTAATTTTTTTCCATTCTTGACAAGTAAATTTTGTGGCGTGAATGTTTTAGAATTTTTAAAGGAATTCACAAGAATGGTTACTGAACAAAGAGTATTCTTTTAGATGAATTTATCAACAGGTTCTACAGTTATATACATATAATTGTAAATTAATTAGTGTTATTAAACAACATTAATGTTTAAATAACATCATGTGCAACTGTTGCACAGTGGTTAGGACGCTCGCCAACCATGCACATGGTCCGGGGTTCGATCCCCTGTTGACACAAACCTGATATCAATGGTTGGCCCGAAAAATTTGGGCCACCGACATCATATGCGGAAAATTCCATACTTGTACCAAAATATTGTATGGATTCAAGCTGTAATAAATAAAAAAAAATGATAATAAACAATAATGTCAATGGATTACAGTTCGATGGCATCAACATAACACTGCACACTGCATATGAGAAAAACCAGGAAAGAAAATAATACAAATCCGTTAATTTATAGTCTCCACTGAAGGCCAGGACAGTAGTAATAGCTTGACTTATTTCATTTGTACACAAAGCGAACGGCGATAAACTCTGCTGTTTGAAATATGTGGTACCTGGAAGTTTTTGGCAATTTATTTGCTACCGGGTAAATGATAGAGAAGGATTCTTCAAAGCTGGCCTTGTTGTCGGCTTGGACCAGGTGGTCTAATATCGAACTATTGATGGTGTTTATTATTATTATTGTATCCTTTAGTTCCTAGAGGAACATAGGGCTTCAGCTGCGCACCTCCATTGACTTCGGTTTTCTGACAACCTTTTCACCCCGCTCCAGGTCTGTCCACATGCTTTCATCTCCTCCTCGCATGATCTCCTCCAAGTCACCCTTGGACGACCAACTCGCCGCCTCCTTTTCGGGTTCCACTCGAGGGCTTGTCTAGTGATGTCACTTGATGGTTTCCTCAGCGTATGGCCAATCCATCTCCATTTCTTTCTGCCTATTTGTTTCACAATCGGTCCCTGATTGGTTCGCTCATCGTCAGAGATCCCTGTTGCTGATCTTTTCTGGCCATCTGATCTTGAGTATTGAGCGGAGACAGTTGTTAATGAAGGTTTGAAGTTTGTTTGAGATGCTCTTTATGACTCGCCAAGTCTCTGATCCGTATAGTAGCACTGACTTCACATTGGAGTTGAAAATCCGGATCTTATTTTTGATGCTGAGTGCTGTTGACCTCCACACAGATTTGAGAGTAATGAAAGCTTGTCTTGCTTTTCCGATTCTGGCTTTGATGTCCTCGTCGGTTCCGCCTGTAGTTGAGACGATGCTTCCCAGGTAGGTGAAGGAGTTTGTTTCTTTCAGGTTCTTCCCATTTATGCTTATTGTGGTCTGTTGGTGTTGTTGATGTTGGCTAGGAATCTTCATTATCTCTGTTTTATCTATGTTCACGTGAAGTCCTATCTTTGATGCTTCTTCTGCCAACTTGTTACTTTTCACTTGCATATCTTCCAGTTTATGGGAAATCAGACATATATCATCGGCGAAATCCAGATCCTCTTACTTAACCACACTGGTAAATTTTCCCGAGAGAGCACGAAACATCAAGTTGCTAGAGCAACAGCCAATATAAGTCGCTTCACAAGCGCAGCTGAATTGGTAGATACAATTAGAAGTGGTTAGTCTAGGAACTTCATCTTTCAATCGAAGAATCACTACTGATCGCGTAGAAAATATGACTTGTAGTTTGCCAGCATTTGAAGTTCTTTGAATAGACTTTCTTAATTTGTTAGTAATTATTTCACTAGGTGCATCACCCTTGAATTACAGTCGTCTATATGAAGGCTTCTTATTTACAGATGAGATGTACTTCACCAGCAGGCGGTTTCACTACATATTTGTTATCCGTCTAACTCAGACTACAGAGAAATTCCTCTGTATTAATGCTTGGATAATCCATGCATGTGATCTAGATTCAATTCCCCGCGGAAGTACTCTTAAAACTCACTCAGCTGATAGTAAGCCAGGTAATGAGGGAAGGCTAGACGTGAGACTAGCAACCCTAAAGCTGTAAAATAATAACACCATTTCTACTGACTCACCAAAGCTAAAGATTTCAGCCCAATGTTCCACTTGGAACCCAAAAGAATGAAAAAAATGCTTAGGCGATTACCCTACGATATGTACACTTCTAAATTAATAATTGATTAAAAGAAGCAGGGAAAGTTAATAAAGCTACATTTAATAAACTCATCAAATTTCAGTTGGACTCTTCAGCTGAGTACTGTACATACAGTGAAATATAAATATATACCTCTAGAGTTATGTTGGGAAATATATGACTGACAAGTAAGTAAACGACAATGAGTCAGTCATGCAAAACGACAGGTGTGAATGTTTTTCAGGTCATGCTCAGATAGATAAGGGGGAACGCAGTACTATAGATTAGAATAAAGATAATAATGCATCACGATTCAGTTACATTGCATCAACAAACGATGAATTATAACTAAAAGAACTTCAATACATCAAGAATTACATGCTGAATAGTGGGGATAATAACAATAATACTAAAAAACGAGTTAAGATAATACCACTAACTATCGTTTTAAATGAATCAAGAATAGTAATAATAAGAGATAGAATAAAAATGTTGACCATTATAAGTAAAACATACTACCATGGTAGGTTCACAGTGACCTCTATTTCCTTCTGTAAACACAGACCAGGTTTATAAACTGTGATTCCGTAGACCTCTGCAACTTCCTTTTTGTTTGCTTACTGACAACAATGAATGACTTGGTAGCGTCAGTATCATGTCCATAGTCTATAAGTTGCTTTGTTACTGAACTATTTGGTACTTTGACTTCAGATGTTTTCAACCACTTAAGCATATATATATATATATATAACACTGTATGTAGAGCACTCAGTCGAAGACTTCGATAGAAATTCGACAAATTTACTCAATCCTGCTTTATTAACGTTTCTTGCTTGTTTCAAATTCAAATTGAGAAATAAATGTCATTAACAGCTAATTAAACTTGATTAATTAAACTTGATAATATTAATATTCTATACAAAATAGTTTTTGAAAACCATTTAAAACCGTTTTTTAATTTCTTCAGAAAAGCAACGCGTTCAACCATGGGAGGAAGATGACGGATACTATGGGATAATGGTTAGTCTGATGGTGATGCTCTTGAGGAAACAAAAATTTTTGTCGACAATTTTTTTTTATATTTTTGGATTCTACCACGATTCTTAATTATGTTTGCACTAAAATAATGTCACATAGTAGGCCAGTGGATTTGCCAGTTAATCAAGGTAAAAGATCTGACCATATATATTGTTTAAATTCCGTCGATTGATTATGTACTGTGATCAGAAGGCGAAGTAATAATGTTGGATTTAGTGGGGAGAACTTGTTGGTGTCCTCCAGTTTTGTAATTCATAGCGCTTATCAATAGCATGTGTCTACGGCCTAGATGAAACTCGTCTGTTAGTTTCTCTTATCAGAATGAATAACTGAGTATTGACTTTCTGATGAGCTCCAGCCTACATAAAATCCCCCGTCAAATACAGCTCATTGCCAGTCAACGTATGAGATCTAACTTTAGTCATTCAGTGAATGATAGTAAATAGAGTGAAAAGGATAGTTATGCTTTTGTTAACTCACACGAGAAGATACATTTCTGTAAATAAGGTAGCATAAGTTAAGTAGCAATGTTCATCTGGCTTGGAGAAGACATTTAATCTTGTTATAGTGACTCCATCTCAACCTACATTAATCTAGTATAACTGTGATTATAAAGCTGACTCACTGAGTACTTATTTGCAGAGAAATTCTTCTATTGTTTCTGTACGGAACAAAGCCACAGAAAGTATCAAGTGCTGTCCTGGAGGCAGTCTTTTCCTATATATATACATACCTCTATGGTTGTATATTAAGCAATGCTGGCACTAAGTTTTTTTGTGTGGAATGAAATCCATTCAGCATATGCCCCTTAGATGTTATAGCTTATTTTTTCCCTTCAGAGATTTTTATCACATTGAAGCTCCGAATGAAGAGTTGTGTAATTCCATTGTGGGTGAAACTTACTTTGATAAAGTCTCACAGTGTTATACAGTAATATTTACTGATCATGTTTCGAGCACAATTTATTACTGCTCATAATCAAATCAAGGTACTCACACAACTTCCTAACTTCGTTCATATAATCCCATTATTTTTTATCTCTTGATGACATGACTGGTAGTAGTATTTTTCATAGAAGTAGCATTAAGTCCAATAGATAAGACGAAAGCAGAACAGGTTCGAGCAGTGTGCGTTAACCCTGAAAACTCAAAAGAAAGAAAAATCAAACTTAACGAAATCGAAAAGACTAGTTCTAATTAGTCTAAAACAGGATAAAAACATCGTCATCACGAAAGCTGATGACTATATCAAGAAAGTCACTGGACATATTGAAACGGGTCCATCCGAGGAAATTAAGGAACCTGTAGGCACAGTAATGAATAAGATTAAGAAATCTACGCCGGATTTAATACGTAGTATGAAGCTGTCACTGGGTGAGTCTAAATCGTTTAATTTAATGCCTAAAACTAACAATGCTAGTAGGATATATGGTACTATTAAAATACATAAGCCAGGTTACCCTCATACGACCAATAGTAGATTTCAGAAATACCCCTACTTATGAATTATCAAAACACTTAGCTATAATATTATGCTCCATTAGAAATCGTTCAAACACTGGACTAACTAATGCATATGAGATGAAAAATAAACTAAATGACATTCAAACAGAGAATGATGAAACAATAGTTGGTTTTGATACAACTAGTCTTTATATTAATATACCAGTCAATATGGGTTTGGAAGCAGTTAAAAAAGAACTAACTGCAGACCTTGAACTTACTCATGGGACGAAGCTGTCCATGGAGAAGATCATTTTAGGAATTCAGTTATGCCTCACATCTACTATTTTAAAATTCCAAGGCAAAATATATAAACAAACAGAAAGTGTAGAAATGGGATGGATCACCAATATCCCCTATCGTAGCAGATATCTTTATGGACACCTGGGAAAACATTGCCCCTAATACATTGAATCCCTCACCAAAAATATGGTGGAGATATGGTGGTGACATTTTCACAGTGTTAAAAACAGAACATATCTCTAGCTTCTTCATACATATAAACTCACTAGTAGAGGGAATAAAATTTTCATTTGAGTCGGGAAATGAACAGAGATAATTAGCTATATTAGATTGTACAATAAAGCGAATACGAGGTAAACTGTACACTAACGTTTATAAAAAGTCAAGGCACTCTAATAGATACTTAGACTTTAATTCATCTCATCCGTTGACTGTTAAGGCAGGCTTAGTTAAGTGTTTAACAAACCGACCAATAGCACTAAGTAGCACAAAAAACGATCTAAATGATGAATTAAAACAGATAGAAGAAGCGTTGGTGTTGAATAACTATCCTATAAAATTCATTAGGAAGATCAGTAAAGGCCAAAAACAAAATAAAAATAATTGTGGAACTAGTAATGATAACATAAATAAGAGAGAATATAAGTCATCTACAGTTATACCATATAAGGAGGAGACATCTTTGACCCGACGAAGCATTCCTAATGAAGCAGGAATTCGGTTGGCATTCAAACCTACAGACTCACTTAGGGATAAGCCCTGTAGTTTAAATGTCCCTGCACGTTGACCTTAATTAGACAAAATAATATAATTTACAAAATACGTTGCAATTACTGTGAGTGAGATCAACTACATAGGTCAAACTAGTAGGTCGGGGGTAGTCAGATTGTCGGAACATAAGAATTTAGCTGAGGTAAGAATGGTTGACCCAGAGAAGATAAGTAATTTCGAAAAAAGCTGAGCGATTGCACTGCATGCATTAACAAACAACCACCTAATAGGGTGCGACAGAGTCAAAATTCTAAGAAGTAAAATAGGTAGGTAGGTGGGGGAGAGAGGTTGATTACTGAATCATTGTTCATGAGATCTACACCCAACACGTGCAGCTGGGATGACTCATCATGTTACTATATACGAAATTTACCCTACTCATCTTGTGGTGAGAGCTGGCTGCTAGCCAAATTGGTAGACAATAATATACGTCAATGTTTACGTCCCAAATATTGGTCGTGAGAAAAATAAGAACAAATACTGATTCAACAACCAACCACAGCAGACTTTGCCTAGGTGGATACAATTAGCATATAGATGGTCTGTTGCCTGGCCCTTGTCTTCTATTGTTAAAATCTTACTGGGAATAGATCACGATTTTTTTCCACTTAGGTTTCGTCAAGTGCAGACGTCAGTTCAATAAAAAAACCCAACGAGTATTGGTCGATCACCCCTCACTTATCTAGACGGTCAGCATCGTTTCAACTACAGGCAGTGGGAACGAATGAAGATGTCAGAGTCAACCAGGATGGATCGTAAAGGCAAGATACGCCTTCATCAACCTGAAACCAGTTTGTAGACCTTCAGCACTAACTCAGCCAGCATTAGGAACAAGATTCAGATTTTCAACACCATTGCGAAGGCAGTTAGTCAGTTCCTCCATATGGGTGAGAAAATTGTGAGCCACAAAAAGGATATCTAACAGGCCACTGAATTTTTTATCAACAGCTGACACCTTGGCTGGTTGGCTCCATACTCACGATCAAATGGCCGGTCAGCGAGAAAGAATTAGCAAGAAGAAACTCTGGCTGGGAACAATACAACCAAGAGAATATTCTTCAACAAATATAGATGAAAAAAGAAGATGGATTAAGCATACACTGAAGAGGCCATCGAATGACATCGGTTGCAGTGTAGGCCATCGCTCGAGTGAAATCTGAATGGGAAGCGACGATTGGGACGTCGGTGCGTTGGTGACATTTACGAGATCGTGTGAGGAGGAGATGAGAGATTATGGGCGATGGGACAAAGTGGAGGCGTGTTATTGAAGCCATATTCTCCACTTGGAACCCAAATAAATAGTAATAAATATAATGATTGAACAGCTGTTCTTTCGTAGTTCTAAACCTGTCAACCAGTTTCCAAAGCTGCCTATTCTTATGTTATTCTTTAACTGGTGCATGCTTATGGTGAAATCTATCATACGCCTGTAGTCTTCTGAAAATAAACCACAAAGAATTTAATGAAATTTGACATTCATAAAGTTCAGGTGATATTTTCAGTGCAGACTAGCTATTTTCTTATTTATACTGAGAAAAAGAGTTACAAAGCGAACTCCCAAATCATAAAAATAAAATAGTGTTTTAGATATTTAAATTTTATTTCATCTCACTTCTGCTCAATCGGCAAAAATAGTAGGATGTTTCAGTAACTGCGTTATGAAATCAAACAGTTTAAAAGGAGAAGTTAAACGTATAGTAGAGGCATTCTTACTCAATAATCAGCTGATAGCATTTCTTCAAGAATTTGAGAGAACAAAGAAAGATGAATGGTGGTGACGATATCACTAAGAAAGAATTCAAAACTCCCACAGCACCACCATATAAATAGACTGCGTAAGGAATTCTGCATATGATTTTTAACAGAGCCATAGTTTAGACACCAAATTTCATTCGTAAATAATAATTTGCTAAAAAGTTTATAATGAAAAACGTTGTGAAGACTAACAAAAGAGTGAAAACACAGTTATTGTTATGCACGATGTAACACAGTCACACAGTACCATGAAATACAGCTACAATAATGAATGCCGAAATAATCAGGGGAAGAGAGACACTGATCACAAAGTTTTTACAGAAATAACACTGCTAATAAATTCTTCTAGATTCTGTTAGCCATTTTAATAAATCGTCTATTAAGTCACTTGGGATAACCTTAAGTTGGGAAATTTGTTGATTGTAGGCAAACGAAGAATTGATTTTAATTGGTGGATGGTGACTAGCAATTGAATCCAGGATGCGCATTTCGTCTTATTTGGGAATCGTCAGCTGGATGTGCCTGCATTCCTCAGTGAGTGATGATATTCCCACCGAGGTTCAAACACAGTGCCCATAGTTTCCACAGCTAGTCACCATCCACCAATTAAATTCTAATTACATGCCCAGACATCATCGAAGCATCGGCACGAGAAGCCGACATGTCAACCTGAGACCGAGCACCTCGGTCCAATCAATCGACGGGAAAATCTAAAATTCAATTGAATAAATGAAGATTTATATCCATTCAAACACGAATTCAAGTCTCAGAAAAAATCAAAATATTTGCCCATTGGCCAACAGACTAGTTTCATTCATACCTAATATATGTCATGACAAATATCTTAGAATGGTTTTAACGTTTTGTTTTTATCTACTTCAAGTCCCGTATGGTTCGTTCTGAAATCCCAAGATTTATTTGGTCATTACGTAAAAGTCAAGTGGAGTTTCGTTATCTTCAAAAGGATCAGATGATCAATCATCATAGTGGTGCGCCGTTTACGACTAAGGTAATAATAATGCTTGTTCTCTTTTCAGTGGTTTTTAGCAGTTTTTTCTTGGTCATATATATATATATATATATATATATATATATATATATATATTGATACTGGGAAATAAAATTCACAATGTGCGCCAGTGGCACAATAGCAGAATGCTCACAAATCACACAGGTGCTTCGGGGCTCGATTCACGGCCGACGCACTCTTCCATTACCTCACTAAGCCAGTAATAAGACTGATAAGGAGGGAAGTTTGGGCATGAAGCGGTTAGTAACCCATCCCGTAAAAATGAATACCATTGCTACCGAAACTTGAATCCTCTAGCTTGAAGCCCTATGTTCCACTGAGAACGTAAAGGAATAGAAAAAAGGTTAGTCTATACTAACATAAAATTATCCCGACAGGAGAACTATCCATAAAAACACAGAAATCTACCTGTTTGATGATACATGTTATGATTCAATAATCAAAAGAATGCTATAAAATCACCATTCATCCAAGCTTACATTACTACATGTAATGGTATTTTTTTCCTTCACGTTCCCCAGTGGAACATAGGGCCTCAAGTTGGTGGCTTGAAGTTTCTGTAGCAGTGTATATTTTTACAGGATGGGGTTGCTAGCCTCATGTCCAACCTTTCCTCTTTACCAGCATTATTTCTGGCTTAGCGAGGTAAAGGAGTGCGTCTGTGGCCGGGGATCGAACCCCGATTGGCGAGCGTCCTAACCGCTGTGCCACTGACGCATATGAAATAGTATACTGATCATTAAACCAATTTCTAGGTAAATAATTACTTTTATCAAACCACATTCAATTATCTAAAAAACCATATAGGCTTTCGACAGCAAGGGCATTCAAAGAACTAAAATAATATTCCCCTCTGTCAATATCCATGTGCATTATAAAAACATTTTAGCTGAAGAAGTGCAAAATTCTGATCTGTGTAACTACTATATATTTGCTGCCTGTGAGATTTTTAAGCAGTCAAACTTCCACCGAATGCTAGAACTGCCTAACTTCTACATGAGGAATTCTTTCCAGTAGGATCTCTGTGTACAATAAAAATGCATGATATATCTTTTAATTCCAGTACAAAACGGGATAGAACATTTCCGTCCAATAAAAACTGATCAGTAGGAAATTCGGAATAACTTCAACAGATAATTTGACTGATACCAATTGCACATTACGCAGACCTCGTGGCCAAGTCACTCAGTGGATAACGCTTTGGCGTTTAAAACGATGGTTGCTGAGTTCTGTTGTCATTGGGGATACCATCACTCACTGCAAAGTGCAGGTATATGCAGATGATAAGCCCCTAAATAGGACGAAATGCTCACCCTGGATTCCAGTGCGTATTTGATCATATTGATCATTTAGTTAGATAATTCCTACTCACTGGTCTAAAAATTCTGAGTCTTATGGATGTCACTTTCCTAATATCACTTACGAAGATATTTGAGTTGCTTCTTTACATATATTCGTTATCTGCTGTCCACAATCTTTCACAGGATAACAAGTAAGTCGAAAGCGATTTATTATTGCCAAATCTAATGATTGTTCACTCTCGCTATATTCATACGTCTAGCTACCCCTCTGTCTCTCATCATCATTTTAGATTCCATAACACATAAAACTTTTTAAGCTATTTTTCCAACTTTTTAATTTTTAGGTATGTTATTGTAAGTTTTTGTATAATGCAAAATGCAATACACTTTAGTAATGCGGGCAGTGTTGGCTAAAATGAAATAAAAGTTGGGGAATTGAAATTATAAGACCCTAAACGCATACACGTATCAATCACCCCAAACCGAGCTAGGAGGATGACATTGTGTGCGTTAAAAAATGTTTAAAGAGGTGTAAGAATATTTCACAGGATAAGTTTATTTAAAGTGTTGCTCAAATAGCTATCAGTTCCTCATAGGAGGATAAAGAGCTATAGTTAGTTTAGGGCTAGATTTAGGTTAGTTCAGGGTTGAATATGTGTTAGGATGGATTACAGTTAGTTTAGAGTTAAGGTTGGAAATTATTCAGATTTTGGGTTTCTATAGTGAACTGGATTAATCTCAGTGTATAATTAGTCACGATTCAACACAAACTAGAGATATTTGTTTTATATTCTGGAATGAATTGGGACGCTGGGTTAGAACATTTGTGGCGACCACCAATATGGCTTGTCTACGCCAACAAAGGATACATCAAGCTCGCTACTTAGCCGAGAACACACAACGTCGTGAGACGGAAAGTATATTTATGAAAAGAAACCACGATATATATATGAGCCAGTGACGTGGGCGAAAGGAAGTTAATTAATTCGTAGTCTGTCTACCCACCCATGACATAAATGATTGGTTCGCTTTCCAAACAAGCTATCGATCCACATGTCACTTTGAAAACCTGGAAGTACTGGACGCCTGTTTCATCCTAGTTTGGAACTTTTCAGCAGTAGACATCCACTGAGATTCGGACGCAAGAACTTTTGGTTACAAGGCGGACTATCAGACTATTTAGCTACTGTGACCCTATCGAATGACCCATGAATTCCAAATTCTTATATGATGACACCTTCAGTCAAATCGCTTGGATGACAGTCAACTTCCCTTTTACGTGGTGAACCCCAATGACCACTGCTTCTCAGTACGGCTTCAAGACATCCATTCAGTATATATCAGTGAGCTGGAGACTGATATTCAGATAACGGTTATTTTGTTAGTGATTTTTATTAATTTCAAAATATACTTGTTCATAAACCGAAACCATTTAGAGTTTGATCCCTGGCTGGGTAGTGACTGAGCACTGCTGAAGCGTTGCAAAATAGGACGAGACAATCCTCTAGTACTCTCTAGTGTTAGTTCATGATGAAATCTACATTGTAATTAGGAATAACTGGTTAAAGTTTAGTTTAAGCCACTTTCTGAATTGGATATTTTCTCAAAATCCTGAACAGAATTCATTATTAATGCTTAACTAGAGCTCTCTTCTTTCCTTCAAATTCGCTTTATCAAAGAGTTGGGTCAATTCAATGTTACTTGTGCTATCATTCAGTTTGGTGCTTATGGCTTAACTTTATAAACTTATGAGAGTGATAACAAACACCTGGTTAATTTAACATTAAGTCCATTTGTTATGTACCCCTTATCTTGCCTAATGTTAGCCTGACATTTGACTATAACCTTAAGATAGGTATATGTAGCTGCTTTCGTAGACCCATGGCGCACTTTGTACTTCTCCACTATTTCTGAATTCTAGTCTACCACTGAGTGTCAACTCTTTAGAAATTATCAGTGAATTTTGCGTCGACATCAAGTGTTTTAACTGTTATACAGGAAAACTGAAAGTCCTCTCATCAATGATCCGTATTCCCGTTCGGCTTTCACGTGTCTATGGTATCGTTGTTCTTGTTGTGGTTGTGGTTATGATTGAAGTGATAAGATTAGTTTTTCATTAGCTTTTCATTAGGTTTCTATTTCTAGGTCGTTATTGTCAGTGATATCACCAATGTATTTCACTGATTCACCTGATGTGTACAAAGGTTTTGTTTTTCTTTTGTATATAAATTCTAGTTCTCTGGAGTAAGATTGTTTACGATTCTTCTATTCCCACTATTTTTATTTACTACTATTTAAGGAGAAAAGAAGAAGAGGAAGAAGAGTGACAGGGCTTCTTTGTTTTAAAAAAAATAACGATACCTCTTTTATGTTGCAGTGTTACTAAAAGAAAGAGTAACTTCTTCCCAATTCACAATATAAGTATAAATGACACAGTAATAGAAAGTACTTTTCTGTTGAATACTGACTATGTCACCATGATCTTTATTACAATATAAATAGCTGAGATCACAGAGGAATAAGAGGATAGAAAAATGCTTTAAAAAAGAAGATATATATACATATGTATATATACTGCCACACCCATTCCTCATCATACTGATCTCGGTTTCAATAAAAGAATATAATATATATATATAGTACGTTTGCATATATATGTTGTAGTCATGGTCGTGGTCCAACTGAGACTATTAAATCTTTCAATTGTATCATATTTAGTGTTTTAATACTAAATAAAGCTTATGACATTTATTGTAGTCAATGGTAACAGTTTTAAATGACAGTGAATCACACTTAAAGTTACTTGGAGGAATTCAGGACACGTGTTTTGTTTTCTGTGAGACTCATGAAATGAATATATCTGCTCCCTAATGAGTTATGTTGTTTGTACATAGACTGTGTATGACCCATCGCTTGGAAAACCGGTCGGTTAACTTCAAGTCGGTAATCATAGTATTGTCAAGAGATCTGTTCATGGAGTCTACATGGCGAAATGATGTTAACTAATCCAGTCAATATTTTCAACAGGTTGCAGACCTTCACCAACAACTGTCCTCGCTCCATCCTGAAGGTCAGATGGCCAGGCCGAAAAGAATCACCACCAAAAAACTATGGGAAGAAACAAACAAAACAAGAACCAATCGACAGACAACAAATATGCAGGAGAAAGTGGAGATAGATCGGACGCTTGCTGATGAGGCCTCTGGGTGACATCGCGCGAGCGTCAAGCCATCGCTCGAGTGGAACCCGAAAGGGAAGCGGCGAGTGGGACGCCAGTGAGAGGGTGACATGGAGGAGATCGTGTGAAGAGGAGTTGAAAGAATATGGACTAACATGGATGGAGGTGAAAAGTACAGCAGAAGGAAGACAGAAGCAAGTGGAGACGTGGAGCTGAAGCCTTATGTTCCACTAGGAACCCAAGAAAACGATAATAAATTCGGTCAATTCGGTCAGTCAGCAGGAAATCACAAGTATGAATAAACATTGAAGGACACTGTCCAAAGTTGTTACATCATATGTTTACTTTGCATCCATATTTATTCCATTAGAGTAGCATGAAGTGAAAACCTATTTACAATACTTTTTTATGAATTGTCTTTAAACACACATCACGGAATGCATTCGAATACAATTTCTCGCCAATTGAGTCGTTTATAGTTGCAGATTTGATCATGAGGTGACATGATTTAGAGAAACACTAGACTGCCAAGGAGTACTGGATAGCTGTCTCATTCTGGCTTGAGATTCTTCAGCAATACTCACCCAAAATCCAGTAGGGTTTCAAATCAGGGACCATCAGATTACTAGGTGAACTCGTTGGCCATTCAGCCATTTAAATTGAATCCGATGGCCCATGAATTGTAAATTCTGTCAATTTTCGGTTTTTAACCTCACTGCCAGCCAATTTCATAGGTAAGTATTTGTCCTCACACTTGACCTAGTGGGCCACATCCCAGTGGCTGAGTAGTCGTAGAGCTGGCTTCGTAACCTAAGGTTCTACATTCGACACCCGATTGGATCACAGATGCGCACCACTGGACAGTCCCAAACTAGGAAGAAACAACTGTCTAATACTCTAATATCAATTGATGATCAAAATTGAAACCAATCGAATCCCTACAAACTGGCAGTTTGAAAATCATATTTTTGGGATAGTCTATGTCCCCTATCAGAATCTTGGCCAGCTAGGTGTCCAGGAGTTCTTAACCATGAAGATCTGTTCAGTATTTAGACCTTCAAAATATGATGGCAAGTTTTGTCTAGTATCCAGTTGTCAAAGTCCTATCAGTAGTATTAGATGTGAGGAGATAATTGGCATGAAGTTTTTGTGAATGCCTAAGTTTGTTAAGTATCAACAGTGAGATTTATTTGTCACGTTGAGAAAATAAAACAGCTTCCTTCTGACCGAAACCTGAATCACTTAGGGCTGGAAGCGCAGATTTTATCACAAGAATGTTCAGACTGAAGAATGTTGTAAATGAAAAGTGGGCTATTCAGTTTAATTATGAGTCCTTTTTTGTAATAACTCCTTTTTTATGTATATTTTGGATGATGATTGCTTGAGGCTTTTCACAACTATATATATATATATATATATATCAACAGACCAACTAAAAAAGGCTAGAGTAGTAGTAGCCATTATCCTATCTTTACAGTTGTTTAAGATAATTCTAGAATCTTTAAAAAGTCAAAACAAGATTTTTATGAATAACTGGCGATGTAAGCTACGGATTTATCGAACTTTTATTGAAAAAATTGAACTACAATCAACAGAAATCCACGAAAGAAAGAATAGTAACACAGAAGACATCAGGATTTAGTGGATCTGGGGTATCGCAAAGGGTAAATGCATCCCACTTATTGAGAAAAATTTGAAGCATATCACCAACAGCCTGCAGCCACTAATTCCTAACACCCCGATCACACTGATCAGACAGTTGACACCTGCCTACGGGGCTCAAACTAAGTGTTTAAAAGCTTCATGGATTGATACCATGTCTTGGTTTGGCCAGCACAACCCATATATCCGCGAACATTGATCATCGATGGAAGCAATGGTTGGACATGAGCAACATATGTCCCAGACATCTCAACCAACGTAGTTTCAAAACCTCATCAATTAACTTTCTCTATCAACTAGCGAATACTCGACGCCTAACCTAAATTCTGCTCACCATATTATACCAATTAACGCAGGAGATAGGACGAAAACATCTGTGGTCTTCTCATATCTTCCGCTCTCAGTGGCCGTGTCTCATAGATATATAGGAAGACAAAGCGAACTGCTGCGTGGAATATCACGTCCATGCTATCCCTAGTTAGTAGTTTAACACATAATATTTCTCAGATTTTCAAGTGAAGGATATGCGTACATTCTTCAGAAAACTCATATTCTGCATCTTCAGATCATTACTGAACTTCCCAGAGTGTGTTAGACAGTAATCACACTAGTTGTCTACTGTTAAGTGATCACTGGGTTAAATGACACTACAACTCTGTATTAGGCGTCAATTCATTTTACTCTAGCTCCAGTTAGTGGTCGTCATTAAAGTATATTTACATCTTCTAAGATGAGAATCTTTGTCACTTATTGCTGAAGTCACAGTATGACACACTTCATTAACACTCTGATATTTAAGCCACTTACCTTATTCAGGTAGGTTCTGGTGAGAAGTCGTGACCAGTAGGGTGCAGAAGGTTGTGTATGAGGACAAATACTCGCCGAAAACATTGGCTAGGGGTCGTGCTATGCCGTGAATTGGCAGAAGTTAGAATTCATGGGCCATTGAATCGGGTCCCAGTGGCTGAATGGTCTATGAGCTCGCCTTGTAACCAGAAGGTCCTGGGTTTGAACCCCTGTGGTGGGTGCACACTGCTGAAGAGTCCCAAATTAGGCTGACGAGGCAGCTGTCCAGTACTCCGAGTTTTTCCAATGGTTGTCTAACTAATGCCAGCTCATGATGAAATCCTGTAACTCTGATATTTGTCTGTAACCGTATATATATTCTGAAGTATTGAATCTTCTTATAACATGTTGTTTGCTTAATTACTGTTTCTATCAGGTTGGTTTATGTCGACAATTGCGTAATATTAGATGGTTTGCTGATTGTGATGCTGACAGATTTTTTCCACGTTGTTTCATTATTAGTGAAGAAGAAGATCGTCAAGCCTTCATTAGTAAGTCTGATATGCAAATATGGATAAACATTGGAATTATTTCATTGCTTTACTTATAGTTTTTTACCATACGTTATCGTTAATTACAATCCAGCTACATTCGTCTACTTTAATTTATATGTGCCTTTCTGAAATGTAGCTTTCATTTAGAGCTCCATGTCAGATAGTCACTGCTTCCCTTCATAAGAGAGAACACAGTCTTAATGATACATAAACGACTGGGAATCTCATGATAGTTCAAAAGATGGTTTTCGTCTTATCTTGAACTCGTCAGCCTCGAAGTAGGGGCATTGATTTCAAATAGTAACCATTACCAATCAAGTGTAATTAAATTTAAAATCATAACATAATGAAAGCAATACACCAACCGTGGGTTGAATCCATTGGTCTCTGATTGTCATAAAAGTTAGAAATGATGACAGTTATATTATTTCACTCTGAATGCTGTCGGGAGATATTTATTTCATGATCGCTTGGTAGTTATCAGTTCCGGTCACCTTCGAATCTTGTGTATATTTTGAGTAGTGCTTCCAAAATACTGAAGCTGGTTGCTAAGCAAATGTAGTAACTTTCGAATCATCTTACATAATAAGTCGTTTTGATTCTGAGGAAACAACTTCCATTTCATGAAAGCCTTCTCCCTATGTATATGAGCACACTGACGCACCCAAAGAGCTAAAATCGTCTTATGTCGCAAAGTTGGCGGAATAATGTTTGTTTGACCAGTCGAGTTTCCCTGTGGAAATCTGCTACACGAAGCGTAGTGAACAAGATCTGGATTCCCAACACTAGTGTCAAGTCAGTCAGTGCCTATACGTGGTTCAAAGACCTGATCTGCGTGTCACCCAAAACATTTCCAACAGGCTACCTCAGACTTTCATCAACAGCTGCGTCATACGCCAGGTCCTCGAGTGGCACTCGAATGAGAAACAACGATTTTTTCGTCCGGATGTGACATAGAGATCATGAAAGTTTGTGGGCAATCATGGAACCATCTAAGAGTGGGCAGAGATTAAACGACCCGTGAATTCCACTCCAAGCAACTAGATAGTCAACGAGATTAGCCTCGTTACTTGAAGGTCCCAGGTTAGATTCCCCGTGGGGTCATGGGTACGCTCTGTTGAAGGGTCCCGAAATGGGATGAAACAGCTGTTTAATGCTAACGCTAACTGATGTTAGTTCGTGAAAATGTCTAATGACTGGAGTTAAATCAATTCAAATCCACATAAATCCTATAATCTATAAAAAATAGGCGTACTAAAAGCTAATTGCATTTTTGATTGACACAATTTTTGGGAACTAAAGAGTGTTAAAAGGTCACTCTGTCCCAGTTTTTGAGTTGATACTGATTATATAGACAGATTCTTTATATGAAAATCATTTGCACAGCTTTATTTTTAATTTAAAGCTAATGTGTGCTAACTGTTTTATGTATGACTGTGAACAATTGATGATTGAAGTTCGGAATGGAAACCTTGGTTAAGTTTAAAGATACTGATCTCAGGACGCCTAAAAATGAGCACAAAAAATGACACTGTTACCGGATTTCTTTTGTCTTATTGATTCACTCCACTTACTTTACTACTTTTCCGTCCACTAACTCGTCTTTTTATATTGTGATAAATTAAATCACTGTGTTTTACAGAATTGTTCTGTACCGCTCCGTCTGTTGGCTGAGCTAAAAGTTGTGAACTGGTTCTCTATTTTCACTTCAGTATCTATGTATAAAAATACCTGGTGTTCTTTACTTCCTTTTATTATAAGGACATTATTACTTCTGCCTGAGTGGATTGTCAGTGTTGAGATGCAAGTAGATGACTTAGACACTGATACTCAGAGTTGCCTAAAGACTAAACTGGTGATGCCTTCATTATCTATCATATATGAGGAGTATTTCGAATCAAAGTATAAATATTAAGAGAAGAAATGAGTCAGTCTAAACCCCAACCTTGAAACTGAATTTCATGGAATGTGACTAATGGTTATAACCTACTGAAAATTAATTATATTTTCAAATTCCACTAGGCAATCGTAAACTGATTATTTAGATTGTGGGTTTTCGCAGGGATCTAAATTAAATTTCAGTCTAGATTTCGTCAAGGAACCAACACCACTTATAGATCATTGAAAACCATGGAACACTAAAGATCTGTTTCGTCCTGTTCTGGAAATCTTCAGATGTGCGCACCCACCGTCATACAAGGGATTGAACTCTAGATTTACAGGTTACTAGGCCAAGTTTGTCATCCATTCAGCCACTTGGGACAGAGTTCAGTGACCCGTCAATCTGAACTTCTGTCAAGGCCTGATATATCTCTACCCTCAGCTAATGCCACTTCACCCTTACTTGGTGGACCCCACCGGTCTCGGCTTCTCGGGACATCCATTCATTAGACATCAGTCAGCTGGTGATAGCTATTTAGATTATGGGTTTTTATAGAGCTTTCAGTGTGTATTTCCCCACTGATGAAGAATTCCAAGCTAAAACGAAATATCTGTGCATTCCTCACTGGCTTTTAATGATCTCTAATTGGCGTTGGTTGGTGACGAAATCCACATTGATTAACTGACAACTACATTTGGGATTATTGTGTTTTTTTTATAGATGACTTTAAATTGACTGCTTGCATATCCTTGGTAAAAATGATCGCCAGCTTGACAGTCGATATCTATCAGCCAGAATCAGGTGAAACAGTTATGTGTAATGTTGAAGATACTGTGGAAGCTACGAATGTTGATGGTGATGGTGATGACAGTCATGAAGACAATAATAAAATTGATGTCAATTCTTTGAAAAGTGAAAATATCTCAATGAATGATTTATACGAAGATAGTGTTCTATCTTTCCAAGATAATACAATATCGTCTAATAATTCATGGGATATTGGTAAGTTTTTTTTCATTTTATTTTCTTGGTGATGACTACCGGCGGAATCCAAGATGAGTTCATCATGCGTAGTAGTACCAATTAGTACCATTTTATATATAAATAAATGATTTTCTTGGTCCACTAAAGACGGACAGTACTTGTTCTGAGTCACACTGAACTTCAGTATCTATTCTCGGTTGTGCGTTCCCGTTGATACTTTTAAGTTTCAGCTCTAGAGCTGTACGTTACCCTTGGTCTACAGACTTCATAACTTCGCACTGACTGTCCTCAGTGTTAGATATGAAGTCATAACTATTGTATGCTGGAATCTTCTGTGTTAAGAACTGTAACCTTATCTGTTTGTCTTGGAGACTCTGACCTTCGCTGCTGATTGACAACAATATACTGAAAAATAATTTCATTGTAGGATTTCATCATGATCTGACACTGGTTAGAGAACCATTGGAAAACTTGCAGGGAGTGCTGGACAGCTGTTCAGTCGGCCTAGTTCGGGACTCTTCATCAGTACGCACCCACCACGGGGGGTCAAACCCACTACCTTCTGGTTACAAGGCGGCCTCGTATACCATTAAGCCACTGGGACCCGATCCAATGGCTCACGAATTCTAACTTCTGCCATTTCACGTTATAGCGCAACCGCTAGGCAATGTCTTTGACCATTGGATCGGGTTCCAGTGGCTTAATGGTATACGAGCTCGCCTTGTAGCCAGAAGGTCCTAAGTTCAAACCCCTCTAGGTAAGTACTGATGAAGAGTCCCAAACTAGGCTGACGAAGCAGCTGTCCAGTACTCCCAGTTTTTCCAATGGTTGTCTAACTAATGCTAGCTCATGATGAAATCCTGTAACCAATCAAATCCCTACAAACCAACACTTGAATTTCATTGTAGTTTGCCTAGTATAGTCTCAGAAATTGACCACTAGTATCTCCATAAAAATGTTTCAGTGTGTTTTCTTCTTTATCATTACATCCTCGTGATATAAAGCCCTTGGGAATGCAACTAACAACCACCCAATTCAGTGAAACGATTCACTGGAACAATTACATCCGAGTATGAAAGGCTGTTATTAATTTTTCTAAGGCCACTGTGAATAATTCACTATCCTATTACTGAACTTACGGTATAATGTAAGTTTCCTGTCTGACCATTAATACATATTAAGCTGTTGTCACGACAGTTTGTGTGGAAAATAGGCAAAATGTTCCATATACAAGGTTTTAGCTTTTATGTGTTATCCACAGTGAGTGATGATTATTGATTGGTTATAAGAACTCACTACTTATTATGTTTGTGAGTAGAAAATGTCACCAGATTTCTCAAGTATTAACAATGAATTAAGCGAAATAATTTTTAACTTCTTAATATGAAGAAATAACTTTAAACACTCTCACCTTTAAAGTTGTAGCTAATAAGTTCGAATTTCATTAGATAAGCTGTCACTGACTAGAAGGCATGCCGTTTAACCTGTTGAATTCCAGATAGAATAGAACATGTTTTTGATGTGACTGCGTCCTCTGAGCTGGATAGTTAATTTGTGAAGCTTTCATCACCCTACTAGGAAACATCTTCAGCGCATGCTTCAATTTGAAGTGAGCTTTCAGATTTCTCATCTCTCCTGGTGACTTTGAACGTGATTGGTTGCTTTTGTGTGTTTTCACGCCCTCTAGGCTACTTGTATTGGAACTGTTTGTTTCCTTGACTTGAAATTTGACCCTTTGTGTGTGAGATTTCCCTCTTACCAATAGGTGAATTTTGTCTGTCTCAATGTGTCTATTAATTGATGATTCACTGGAATACCAGGCTTTTAAAAATTCTCTAGCATTCTTGGTGTTTCCTCTGTCTAATATTTGAACACTAGTTGTCCCAGTGGAATTGATGTCCGTGGTTGTCTGGATGTAGTGATATGAGGGAGTATATGTCATGTCTTTTGACGGCTGTTTGGCTTGTGTATTTTGGGTCTACCGTAGAGTCGGGGTAGGACTGATCCACTGGATCTCATTCGCCATCGGTCTTGCTTTGTGATCTGACCTGTTTTGCTGAGCTTGTTTAAGATTCTTTGGAACCGGTTGTCTAATATTTGTATAGGATTTGTTGTGAGTTGTTGATATGCATCCTCATCTTTGAGTAGGTCTTCAGCCTTCATAGTGTATTCTTCTCTGTCCATGACTACTGTTGTTCTTCCGAAGTGGACGTCCTCTTGGTCTTCGTATCCGTAACCATAAGCTAACCATCAAAAGACATGACATATACTCCCTCATATCACTACATCCAGACAACCACGGACATCAATTCCACTGGGACAACTAGTGTTCAAATATTAGACAGAGGAAACACTAAGAATGCTAGAGAATTTTTAGAAGCCTGGTATTCCAGTGAATCATCAATCAATAGACACATTGAGACAGACAAAGTTCACCAATTGGTAAGAGGGAAATCTCACACACAAAGGGTCAAATTTCAAGTCAAGGAAACAAACAGTTCCAATACAAGTAGCCTAGAGGGCGTGAAAACACCCAAAAGCAACCAATCACGTTCAGAGTCACCAGGAGAGATGAGAAATCTGAAAGCTTACTTCAAATTGAAGCATGCTCTGAAGATGTTTCCTAGTAGGGTGATGAAAGCTTCACAAATTAACTATCCAGCTCAGAGAATGCAATCACATCAAAATCATCCACTTGAGCTACAAATCTTCTCCATCATATCTAGAATAGAAATGTATTTTGCATCCGACTTCCAGCTGTTGTAGAAAGCAATAACATAAACCTGAAAGATCACTTAGCTATACACCAAGTACCTCGGGATAATATATTTTGGTTAGGAATATGAAGTAGACAGGAAGGCTGGCTAACAAGTAGGCTAATATATGCTGATTTTTAGAATACTTACCGTTTACAATGCAGGAAATTGCCAGCACACTGAATCATATTGAGCGGAGTTATAATTCATTATCCTGAAAATAATTATAAGTTTAAAAATTAGTTCAAAATTAGTTGGTCTATGCAATCAAGATGAAACTTACATGATTGATAAAATTCATATTAGGTATTAGTCGAAACAAGAAAGATCTGGATGGACAACTTCTTTTAGCAACTTCTTTCTTAGACTGCACAATTATAAATCCAGAAACATTATCTTACTATAGACAGATACTGATGGTGCAACAATAATCCAAGGTTAACATTTTGATCTCTGAATCTATTTCAGCCGGATTATGGACTGGTGGTTCGACGGTAGAATGCACACCAAACACGCATGTGGACTGGGTTCGAACCCTGGCCAACAAACGCACTCGTTAACCCTGCTTGGCTGGTAGTAAGCACAGTAAAGAGGGAAGATAGGGCATAAGGCTAGCCACTCCACTCCGTAAAAATAACAACAATGCTGCTTAAAACCTTGTCGTCAATGAATATACAATAAGTAAAATCAATCACAATATACTTACAGCGAAAATATTCATTCAAACATTTAGAAAACACAAAATAGTTGAGGAAAGAATATCCTTTTCAATAATTTCATCTTCGGGTTCTACAATTATATATATATATATATATATGTTTATAAACATAGAATATTCTAGAATAGCAGTCAATAACAATATTAGTGTTTTTTAAATAATATAGATTTGTAAAGTAAGATCAATGGAACTACAGTTCATTAAAGATGCTTAAATTATAACAATAATAATAATAAAGATACAATGGCAATAGAATATCAACTAAAATTAGGAAAATTCCACAAAAACTGAGGATCATTCAAACCTAGATCTCCAACGTAAGGATAATGTCTGAACTAGCTTCTTTTGGACGCATAAATTAGACCTCCTAATGTGGATCCCAACGGCCTCAGTAATATTTAATAATCGAACCCTTACGGCGAAGTTAAGATTACACAGGCCGTACAATTAGACATGTTTCTCGTCGAATTTCAGAACATCACCTTGCATGGTTAAGTGAAGGACAAACTAAATCTATTTGTAGCGCTATTCTATCTCACCTTGTGGATACAGAACACATGACTGACGTTACCAAGATGGCTTTCAAAGTCATTTACAAATCTTAACTTCGCCATAAGAGTTCGATTACTAAATATTGCTGAAGTTGTTGGGATTCACACTAAGAAGCCTAATTTCTGAGTCCAAATGAAGCTAGTTCAGACATTATACTTAGCTTGGCCATCTAGGTTTGAAAGATCCTCAATTTTTGTGAAATTTTCCTCATTTTAGTTGATATTCTATTTGCTGCAATATCTTTATTATTATTATTTAAGCATTTTTAATTAAATGTAATTCCGTTGATCTTACTTAACAAATCGATACTATTTAAAAAACACTAGTATTGTTATTGACTACTATTCTAGAATATTCTATGTATATAAATATATGTGTTATTGTAGGTTCAGAAGAGGAATTTATCGAAGAGGATATTCTTTCCTCAACTATTTTATGTTTTATACAATATACTTAGTTAATCATGGAAAACTTCAGTGGCGATTTTTTTCGCAATGGAAAGTTAAGTTCCTCACTAGATTCATGGGAAGTAATGTTTGTTTCACCGTACATTTTGTCTTTTGTGTACATCAGTTCAGAGAACCACTGAAAATCATGTGGTATTGAACAGCTGTCTTATCCAAATTTGGGACTCTAGCGGGGCGACAGATTCGGGCTATTGGCAGGATCTAAACGAGACAGGCAAATCTGTTCAGTGCTGCTTGGTTTTCAATAATTCTCTAACTGATTTGTGATGAAATCTACGGTAAAATTAATCAAACAGTCTACAAAAACTATAATCTGAATAAGTGCTGTTTGTTATGTGAAAGTGAGGAACGCTTACCTCTAAATTAGTCTCATTTGAACAGGCAAACATTTCTTCTATTACAGACTCACCACCGAATGATTCATCAAAAATAATTCAAACACCAAACGAAATTGTAAATTTTGCTATATTTCAATGTCAAGAATTTCTACGATTTAAGCACAATGATGATTTGGATAAATCAAAAAAGGTAGATTTTTTGTTTTGTCTTGTTGTAATCTGAGTAACTGTTTTTTTCCTGACCGTCTTAGACGGAAATATAGCTTAGTCATGTCTCTTTTGTAGTCAAGCATTAGGAACACAGGTAGACCTTCCGTCTATTAATCAAACTTTTAGTTTTCTTTTGGTTTTTTTCCTATTTTTAGATTTTTTAGCTGAAATGAAGCATAGTACTTGTCATAATAATAATTATTATTATTTCAATCTATCACTTTTTCGGGCTGATGATTCTGGTGCGTTGAAAATCCTTCTCTGTCATCTATCGGGTGCCTAATAAATTACCAAAAACATCGAAGCACCACAGGCTCCAAACAGCAGAGGCTTTTGCAATTCGCCTCAAACAACCAGTCCTCTATGTTCAAAAGAAGCAAGTCCAGCCCCCAACTACTGCCTTGGTGTAGACTTCCTGGTTAGGATACTCGGGACGGTAAAAACCAATCGTTGGGAACTATTGGTGCTATGGCTCAAAATCGTTCTCAACGGCGCAGATGCATCCACTCCTTGTGATCCATGATTTCCAATGAAACTGTTTTGTTCTCCGTTATCACTATTCCTTTGTCTCACACCTCTGTTTACCGTTTCTATTATGCATTTCTTCTACCTTCTTCTCTTGCTTTGTGTGCTACATGGGGTGTGGCAACTTCAACTGCCACACATCGGTGCAAAGTTTTATGTCGAAAACACACAAACAGACAGACTGCCTTGGCCTTCAGTAGAGACTATAAACTCATGAATTCTTCCTAATTTTCTGACATTCAGCTTATTTTGTGTTGATACTATTGAGCTGTGATCTATCAATATTATTGATTCGATGTTATTTAAACAACATTAATGTTGTTCATAACACTAATTCATTCATTCACTATAATGTGTATATATAACTGTAGAACCTGATGATGAAGTTATCGAAAAGAGTATTCTTTGTTTAGTAACCATTCTTTTGAAGATTCTGTATTGGTTAGTATGTTTTGACATCCTGACTGTTTATCTTTTTACGGATAACGAAAATTATATATTATTATACTATTATTATTCTCCTTGGGTTTTTAGTGGGACATAGGACTTCGATGGCATATTGCCATTTCAAGCCAGTCTCTACAGTCACCTTTAACTGGTTCGACAATTGTCCATTAGCTTTCATTTCTTCCTCAATTCATCTTCTTTATGTCACGTTTGGACTCCCGACTCGTCTTCTCCCATTCGGGCTCCCCTCGAAGGCATAACGCATATATATATATATATATATATATATATATATATATATGTACAGGTGGTTTCTGCTTACAAGTCTTGATATGGAGCGCCTTCTAGGTGTCGCAGGTTTATGTACTGCTTCTCTATCAGTTTGTAGCTAGTCTGGTGATAATTGCCAACAAACATAGTACACTGTTAAATGGCTTTATGCTAGCTGACTTTAGAAACCCTTAGACAAAAATGTACTACAGTTAACACAATGGTTTCAAGTTATTTAGCTTTCTGTACGGTTCAGAGATTTGATGCACATGTTAGGGAGAGCATTTCTGACAGACTACTACAAACTTCCATCGAAATCCACCCTCCTTCTCTCCCCGATGGCTCGATAGTGAAGATCAGATGGCTAACCAACAGGGATAAACAGCAGGAACGTCTGACAACCAACCGACAAACAACCTATTTCCAAAAATAATATTAGGAGGAACCGCAGATGGAGACTGTTGAGCGACATCACGAGCCAGATAGGCTATCCAGTGGAATTCAAATGGGGAACGAGGAGTTGGGGGCTTAGGTCTGACGTTGATACAGAAGAGATAGTGTGAAGAAAAAATGAAAAACTTGTGGGCAATCATAGGGGCCGCCTAAAGCAGACTTCAGGAGACTGTTATGATATGGTGATGTGCTTCTGAAGTCCAATGTTTCACTCGGAACCTTAGGGTATAAAAGTGATAACAATATAATAACATGCTCAAATCTTTTCTTACCGCTACATAATCTTCATAATAATAATAATTATATTTGCATTTATGTTTTTACTTACTTCATAGCAGTTTCTAGCTCCGGAATATCCATGGGATAGATTTCTGTCTTGGTATTATCACATCGTAAAGTGAGTTTGGATAATTATTTATTCTTTATATATATAAAGTATTAATCATCATCTATTTCGAAAGTCATCTCTGGAAGTCTTTTTGTTATTTAATAAAATATTAGAAGTTTTTGATTTATATTTTCTTATCGTACTTTTTATATTTAGAGAGAGAGAGAGAGAAAAGTGAAGTAAAAGAACAAATAAGGTGAACTTTCTTTGCGAATACAAAAAATTATTTCCTCAACACTTTAAATTAGTTTTAATTAACAGGTAAATAAATACAATTAGAATTATTCAGTGGATGGTGATTAGTAGTGAAATCCAGGATGCGTATTTCATCTTATTTTGGGACTTTCCAGCTGGATGTCCCTTGAAATCCCCAGTGAATGGTGGCATCCTCACTGAAACGTCTGACCGATGAGTCCCAAATGGGATGAAATGCCCATTCTAGGTCTTAGTGCCTGTCAATCACGTCTCATAAACCGTTAATGCCCAGCTCTCGCTACGCTCGGGCCCACGCTGTTCTTCGAAGATTTCTCAGAAACGCTTAGTTATAACGGACGCAAAAACCAAAACACTGATCTGCCGCTTTAGATTTGTTTATTGTTACACCAACATATAAAAGGAATAAGCGAACTAAGGTCTGAAAACAAATATTACAATAATAAATCATAAGATTACTTCTGACGATGTTTCACTCTTCTTTCTGAACAGCGACCGATGAGACGATGACTGTCGTATTGATGCCTCCGCGAAAATTGGGGAAGTTGATTTTGAGCAAACAACCAAGAATTGATCGTTCAATCTTCAACTCCATTGACACTCCCCGGCAAAAAAGGGATCCAACCCTTTTTTCCTTCACGACCAATGCACGTTGACTTGGATGCCATTGCGAGAACCTGGGTCACACGGACAGAGCTGAAATGGAAAACAAACAGAAAAGCCAACACACCACAAGCATACCCACAGCACAATCTCACACATCGCTGACGACCTGCGCCTCCAGACAGAGACCTCCTCTTGACATCTTGCAACACAATCGCCATTTGCTAGAATGACTCTTGCAGAATGCAAAGTGACCATGGCAGCACCTCACGATACTCTACGCACATCCTCTTAATTACTCACTACCAATTACCATTGAAATCGCTTGTCACTCATTCTGCCTCAGTTCTAGTAGCGGTGACGCATGCGAGCCTCAGTCGTTTACACTCTTTCTCCCCGGCGTGTCGGACCGCAGCTAACAATTATCTCCGTGTGCATTTCATTCTCAGCAATAGCCTAGCCTCCCCGGCGTATACGACCCATCTGCTGTCCTTAACATCAATCAATTCATTCACGGATGTAGAAGACTCGAAACAACTTCAGAAGTAATCACGACGAAAATTTTAACAAAATTATGCAATAAAAACAAGGCACGAAAACAACGAGTAAACACAACTGATCCAAAATCACAAATTGCGAAGACACACCACACGTATACACAAACAGTACAAATAACCTCGCGGATCATGTCTTGGTGGAATTATTTTGAAGAATTGGAGGACTTACACCAGTACGCCTGTAACCCTTCACAGGTTGACGATTGTAAGTTGTGGAATGTCCAGACACAAACAAGATTAACCAACAATTACATCAATTGGAACTCACACAACTATTTAACACAAACATATGTACAATCAACACATCAAATGTTGTGGATTCTGACACGACAAACTACCCTTGAAGAACCGTAGGACTTACAGCAGTACGCCTACATTCCTTCTCAGGTTGATGATCCAAGTGGAAGTCGTCCGGACACAAACAGAATTACCAACAGCTAGATGACAGATGATATCAATTCAGTATATACAATATGAACATATGTACAAGATCATACACCAAGCACATTGGACTGCTCATTGATGCGCTACCCTTTGAAGAACTGTAGGACTTACACCAGTACGCCTACAACCCTTCTCAGGTTGACGCCCTAGGTTGGAAAATCGTCGCAGAGTTCATTTGCTAACTTCCTTCTATCAGCTATATCCTCAAATCTGAACGGCAACACGCCCATGTCATTGTATCGTAGAATATAGATGACCAACAAACACACGACATATCTCATCAACCAAGTATAGAAACAGAGTAATTTACACCAAAGATAATAACATTCAAATAGTAACTTGAAACTAGAAATGCCTTTATTCGTGCAAGTCAATTTAACAATAACTCTCTCCTTTACACTTGGCTTATCCACACTAAACTGACCAATATCTTCGTCCTTTCAAACGCACCAATACTATCATAGTCATTGCACAAGATACTTGAGTTGATGGGCATCTGTTTCATTGTGGATGAAAACACCAACGATGACTGAGTGACACAAGGTGATGAACTTAGTGGTGGATCAGAAGCTGTTCTTGTTCGGCTCTCAGATAGTTGTCCAACTGCAAGATTACCACCACTGCTGTCTTTCACTACTAGTTCGGGTTTAGCACTATCATCTGATGATAGGTGGGCTACACGCTGATCAATTACACTGACTGTCTCACAAGTATGCACACCTTTTGGAACTGCATCTGCGTTCAATTCTACTTCACGTTGTAGTTGTACAGAACCTTTATTTAACTTAGCAGTAGTAGGCATATCCCTCATCTCATCATGATCAACCAAAGACAACTGTGAAGTATCATGATCATTATCACGAATATTCAATTTACCGTCAACTTCATCATTTTCAAACTCTTTAATAACAGAAGTAGACAATTTTGGTTCCTCCTCGCAAATCATAAAAGGTTTTATAACTTCACTCTGACTAGTAATACCTTGTAAACTTTTGGAGTCAGAACTCCACTCTGAAGCAGTAACTCTATTCTGTGACACTCTATTCAACAACGGCTTACCAGTTGCAACTACAGACTTCTTCACAACAACGTTATCGTCACACAATTCGGAGTCAGGCCTGGAGTTTACATTTAGCTTATCACTGAACTTGCTCACTGGTTCACAGTTCACTTCTGTATGCACCTCTTGCACACGTGTAAAACAAAGCCGTGTTTGTCTTGCATCTTGTAACTTATCTGTTGAGGATGTACTACGAAACCTGTTACACTCACTAGGTCTATATGCATTACTAGACATCATGGAGTCTTCTCGATATCCACCTCTCTGAGGCTTATTCGTCATCAATGAGTGCGTTTTACCCTCAGACTGCTCTATTCTAGGGGTGAGATCTAACAGACTGGAAAACTTGCTCATAGATTGATTGACACTAGTATTTACCAGTTTCAGGATATCATCAAACTTTGGCTCGATACCCTCATCCTCCATACGGGAGCTCATCTTCACCCACTTCCTTTGCAGTCGAGTAGGTAGACGTCTTGCTATTACTTCTAGTATAAAACTCGAGTTGAGGTCACTCATGCGATTCATCGAAATCATTCCATTCTTGTAAATTAGCAAATTATCTAAAAACTCAGTGAGTGCCTGGGAGTCATCCTGTAATTGACCACCATTACCCTTAACAGCCTCGAATAATTTCCCTGCAATCATCGAAGGTCTTCCAAACCTTTGACGTAATATGCTCATAGCCTCGTAGTAGCCCTCTTTTGGCTTCATAAACTTACAGCACTGTATAGCTCTTGCAGCATCTCCAGTGCAATATCTCATCAAATACATTAACTTCAATTCATCATTTAATAAAAAACCACTCAACATGATCTCAAACTCCTTTACAAATTGTAAATAATCAGCCGGGTTTCCATCAAAACATCGTGGTTCAAATTTAGGGAGTTTGATGTTCCTATTATCCCTGAACGGCGAAACAGTAACATCAACCATGTCATGCTTAACATCAGACACATCGTTACAATTAACAGACAAGTCACCATGACTTACTTTCCTGTTTGCATCCAAGACACTCTGTCCCTTCTTTGACCCAGGCATTGTTGAACTTGACCCAATTCCAAAAAGTTCCAGATATTGCTTGTTCAAAGAGGACTTGACCGGCACCAGGAAAAATGAACGGCGACTATCCAAACTTTCACCAACTGTTTGAATCCGCCAGATCTGTTTCTATCGTCAGAAACTGTCAATCACGTCTCATAAACCGTTAATGCCCAGCTCTCGCTACGCTCGGGCCCACGCTGTTCTTCGAAGATTTCTCAGAAACGCTTAGTTATAACGGACGCAAAAACCAAAACACTGATCTGCCGCTTTAGATTTGTTTATTGTTACACCAACATATAAAAGGAATAAGCGAACTAAGGTCTGAAAACAAATATTACAATAATAAATCATAAGATTACTTCTGACGATGTTTCACTCTTCTTTCTGAACAGCGACCGATGAGACGATGACTGTCGTATTGATGCCTCCGCGAAAATCGGGGAAGTTGATTTTAAGCAAACAACCAAGAATTGATCGTTCAATCTTCAACTCCATTGACAGTGCCAGTCACCGTCCACTAAATAACATCATATTGGTTTTCAGACATCATTGAAGCGTCCATACTAGGCGCTGACATGTCCGCAGGGACTGAACACTTCGGTTCATTATAGTCAGTCAGTGGGGAATGCAGAATTAACTTAAGCAAATAATACTTGGAGCTATCTCATAAATTCTTGTTATTCATTACCTCAGAAATTTATTTCATTAGCTGTAATATAATTTAATCAGTTCAGGCTATTAGTGAAATCAGTAACCTTCATCAAAACACGTAGGGACTTAAACGAAAGTATTAAGTAGTATTTGGAAAATACACACTTCTGAGTGGAATTTCACAGCTGTCAGCTTTAAAATAGCACAATTTTCAATCCATAGCGTAAAGGGGAGGAGACAGAAGACTGAGTAACGGACGTTAACTGAGGAGAAACATAATATTTATGCATTTTCAGCCACACTAAAATTTGGCTAGGTCAGGTGAGAATAAGTCGTTCTGACTGGTTGGTGACTGACCCGAGGTCAAACAAGCTGCCCAATGAGGTTTTCTCATGTCCACTACGTAAACTAAATCCAGATTTGAGGAATAAATACTTCTACCTTTGCAGCCGTTGACTTAAAATGCTGATGTCAATTTTGGCTGCTTTCTATCAATTTGCAGTAAGCCAGAGTAGTATCTGGATCACTTAGCAGTTTATTTGATTCCCTTTTTATCCATCTCTTTCAAGCAGTCAGTTAGAAATAAGATTGTTTGAATGATTTACTTCTGAGATATCACTGATAAGCTTGGTTCCGGTTCTAGTGTGTAAACCACCTCAATCAGGGTGGAAAGCAATACTGGTGTGTAAATGATTTCCAGGTACTCATATATCAATTAGTTACTTGGATTTTCACATCATAAAGGCGTGTCTATATAATCGGAAAGCATAGTGAATTTAACTTTCTAACAGACACCTACACGGTCCAAACTGATGGGGAAGATATTTGAACAGTCTGTTGCTAATATAAGGTCAAATAAAATGAGTAGAATCTTCTCAAAATTCGCCAAAGACAATCACCTCTTTTTTTAGTTGCTTCAGTTATAATAAATGTACCCACGTCCTTGCCAGCCAAGGGATGATTGCATGTTTCAGCTCTGGAATTAGGACATCCCCTTTGCAGAGCTTACGATTTAAGTCATCGTGGCTGATTTAATAAGCCGTTTTTAAGGTACCTACTTAGATATGAATAGTTTAACCTCTGAGATGCGCATATGATATTTTCTTCAAGTAAAATAGCAATCTACAGTATATTGTGTGACGTAATACTGTTCATTCAGAAGTAAAGACTAATCCCTTACGATAATTTTCTCTTTCTTTTCCGGGAAATAGGCACCAGTAGGTTGGAAGCCAACTAAAAATGTGCTTGAGTACATTTAGCTTTTCAGGGAACTTAATCAGTGTTTAAAATACTAAGAATTAGAGGAAATATGATGCAATGTGTTGGAGGAAATTTTCAAGGTAGCCCAATGATTCAGACAGGCTGAGAGTCAAGACATCAGTTGTAAAATGGACAAGTAAACTATAAATCATAATAATAAGGTAAGGGATCATTGAGTCTGAAGAGGACAAATGTGCGACAAAATAGGTTTCTTTAAAACACCTATTTTCAGATATCCAACTTGTAGAAGAAGATACATCTGTGAGAAACATAATGTAAACGAGACAAAATCCAGTTATAAGCTGGTGAAATTGACTTTAAACAAATGTACATAAAAGCGAATATGAAAATGTTCTATACCTTTGTTTGTAAACTATTTTAGGACACCTCAATTACTTATGAATGCTAAACATCTCTCACCTCATTGTCATCAGTTGTGTAAACTGCTCAAAAAATGCTGTCCACAATTCGATATGGACGGGGTGCGCAATGTATGGATTGTGAAACCTGGTGCTAAGTCAAGGGGACGTGGTAGGTCTACTTATGATTATTATTATTAATAATAATACTAATTTACTGATGATTTTTTGTCTTTCCTTCGGGTTCCGAGTAAAACATAGGATCTCTTTAGCAGTGATGTTTCTTTTATTGGGTGAGGTTGTTAGCCTCGTGTCCAACCTTCTTCCCGCTATGCGAGGTTTAGGAGTGCATCTCTGTTGGTCGAGAGTTGACCCCAGATCACATGAGTGGTTGACGAGTATTCTACATTCTCAGTGATGCTTTTTATGAAATGTTCATAGAAAATGAAATCTCTATAGTTAAATAAATGTTCTATACTTCATTGACTTAGTCTCATTTATTCTTTGCAATCAGAATCTCTCTATTAGTATAGTTTCTGGTTCATTTAAGTTCTGTTTTATGTCATTGTGTTCTCAATCATTATTTTATCCCATCTATAAATGGCATGTTAAAAATATGACTGGATCTGAATAAAATGGTTCTAAGCCAACAGTCGTTTTCGATAACTTATTCCTTAGGCTCTACAGTTATGAATCTAGGAATATTAGAATACAGATAGCTAGTATAGGCATGTATTGGAGTACATGTATAAAATAGAACGGTAGTTAGTTATTCAATATCGTCAGCTGGATGTATACAAAAAGGTACAATCATTCAGAACATAAGACAAGATAACAGCTATCATCCCTTTTTTATACATGTACCTCAATACAGTTTCTGATATAATTTTCACTTGCATTTACTGGCTATTTGTATTCTAATATCCATGGATTTATAACTGTGGAGCCTGGGTAAGAAATTATCGAAAACTATTGTTCGCTGAAAACCATCTTGTTCTGATGGCTACATCTGTATAACATAAAATGTGAAAGTGAGACTCATATCTGTCTGACGGATGAAACAAGTTAGGTAATTATGTTTCATTCATTTTGATCCCATTAAAATTTCCTCGGTGCATCTTGTGTGTGTGTGTGTTGTGTTCATTAACAAAGGTGCGGCTTTATTTAACAACAGGTGGATTGATTTCCTATATGTACACAATAAATTCCTGCTAAAGCATTGAAAATTGACCCAGAGATATCAGCGGACCTGATGACGCTACTATTGAAGAAGGTGTTGAAAGAGGGCATGCTACCTGCAGATTCAAGGAAACACTGCCTATTCAAACTGACAAAGAAGACTTCAGTCAATGCAACAACTAGCGTGGAATTATGCTCCTATCTGTCCATCTTAAGCAAAATACTAAGCCACGTCATCCTGGAGAGAAAATTCGACCGGAACACGCTGGATTCAAAAGAAACAAGTCAAGCATCGATCAAAGCTCAACACTACGGATCATCACTGAACATATAGTGTAATGACAGTCAACTCTTTACTTCACTCAAATTCATCGACTTCGAAAAGGACTTCAACAAACATCGTCGATTGAGAGGTGATTTGGAAACTAATTCGCTACTACCAAGGGATGCCGCCAACAATTATACACCACATCCGATAGTTGTACGACAATGCTACATGCCGAGTAATCCACAACGGGAAACTCACGGAATCCTTCGAAGTGTAAACAGGAGTACGACAAGGCTGGCTGACTGCCTACTTACCAGCTCCAATGATTTTCTTGACTGTGGGTGGTAGACTGGATAATTCGACAGACAGTGGGCCGGGCAGCGAGGAGACACGCATAAAATGGAACCACACAAAATACTTGAAGGATCTGTACTTCGCCGATGATATATGTCTGATTTCCCACAAACTGGGAGATATACAGGCAAAAATCAACAATTTGGTGGAAGAAGCATCCAGAGAAGATAGTGCTTCAGGTGAACATAGAGAAAACAGAGGTAGATGGTGAAGATTCCTGGCTAACAGCAACAGCGAAAACAACACCAACAACAACAGACAACAATCAGCCAGAATTAATGAGAAAAATCTGAGAGAAGCAACCTCCTTCACCTGTCTACCTACCTTGGAAGCATCGTTTCAACTAGAGGTGAACAGAACTGATGAGGATGTCAAAGCAGCAAGGATTCGGAAATCAGGGAAAGCTTTCACTACTATTAAGTCTGTGTGGAGATCAAGAATCAGCACTCAGCATGAAAATGAAAATCAGATGTGGATTTCCAACTCCAATGTGAAATCAGTGCTACTTACTGTACGGATCAGAGACTTGGAGACGAGTCACGAAGGTCGCTTCGAACAAAATACACACCTTCATCAACAGCTGTATTCGCCCAGTACTACTCATGATCAGATGGCCAGAAAAGATTAGCAACAGGTATCTCTGGCAATGAACGAACCAGCCCAGCAAGAACTATAGGGCTTCAAGCTAGTGGTTTAAAGTCTCTGTAGTAGTGTTTATCTTTACAGGATAAGGTTGTTAGCCTCATGCCCAACCTTTCCTCTTTACCAGCATTATTTCTGGCTTATCGAGGTAAAGGAGTTCGTTGGCCGGGGATTGAACCCCAGACCATGCAGGAACCAACTGTGCAACAAATATTCAGGAGGAAATTGTGGTGGATTGGCCATACTCTGAGAAAACAAACCACCAAGTGAGTGACATCGCACGCCAGGCCACCGCTCGAGTGGAACCCGAAAGGGAAGCGGCGATCTGATCGTCAGTGTGGGGTTGGGGTGACATGGAGGAGGTGATGTGAAGAGGAGATGAAGACATGTGGGTAGATGTGGAGCCAGGTGGAAACATTATCAAAGAATCGGACGGAATGGAGACGTGTGGGTGAAGCGCTATGTTCCCCTAGGAACTAAAGGAAACAATAAACAAGAAGAACTCATGTAATCTGATCTTAACAGGAGGATAAATAACACTCTGAATTGTATTGCAGAAATATTTTTGTATACCGTAGTTGACAGTGCAGAAAGCCTGGGCATTCTAGAGGTTTTAGTCTATCTTTATGAGGCGATGAAGTTATTTTTTTTCACTTTATCAATGTTAGAAAGAGTATGTCTAATTTTCCTTGAAAATGATATATATCATAGGCTGCACTCTTCTGGCCAATTTAAAGAACGAGCGCACCAATCGAACTTTGAAATGCACTAGCAGAGTAAGTTAGTGTAACCAATTGAATAAAATACCATAGTCATTAGATAAGTGTTGAGTGAAGTGTAAGAACATAAAATAGTCTATCTGGTTAGTTTTAGATTAGGTTAGGGTTACACGCTAATAACAGGTTAGGGTTATGCTGACCTAATCAAGTATGTATTAGGATCAGGTTAATGGTAGAACAGAGGAAGATTAGGGTTATATCTGCGTTGAAGGATTAAATTTGCTATTAAACGCAACCACTCGTTTCGTGGCCACTGACGCGTTTGATCCCCTTGGGTTCTTATTCTTTAACTTCTCTTTGTTACTGAACTCTCAGTAGCTTTACCTTCTATTATAAGTCTTTTTACCATTCATCAAGGAAGGATCGCAATTAAGTTTGCACGATTTTAGCATTAATAGACCACAAAAATACACTGAATCAGAAGTGAGATGATTTATTTAGAAATTCGAATGTGCAAGTAGTGATTGTCATATTTAGTTACCATTCTAACATTACTCTGGATTTCCTTAAGATTCAGATAAAGGAGAAACGGACGAGGATGTCAAATCGAGAATCGGGAAGGCGAGAAACGCATTCATCAACCTGAAATTAATCTGGAAATCTTCATCACTCAGCATCAACAACAAAATTTGGATTTTCAATATAAACGTAAAGTCAGTTCTTTTACACGGACCAGAAACTTGGAGGGTCACAAAGAATATTTCCAAAAGGTTGCAGACCTTTATTAACATCTGTCTTACAGATGGCCGGAAAGAATCACCAACAAGGAATTATGGGAACAAATAAAACAAAGCAAGAACCAATCGCCCAACAAATATGCAGGAGAAAGTGGAGATGCCTTGGACGCTTGCTGATGAGGCCGCTGGGTGGCATCGCGCGAGCGTCAAGCCATCGCTCGAGTGGAACCCGAAAGGGAAGCGGCGTGTGGGACGTCGGTGCAAGGGTGACATGGAGGAGATCGTGTGAAGAGGAGTTGAAAGAATATGGACTAACATGGATGGAGGTTAAAAGTACAGCAGAAGACATAAGCAAATGGAGACGTGCAGTTGAAGCCCTATGTTCCACTAGGAACCCAAGGGATCAGTAATAAATAAAAATTAAGATTCTCCACTTTTTATTTAACTCAAATCTGTCTCTGCATAGAGATAAGTTAATAATCAATATATGGATGTGTTGTTCTACCCCGATTCTGTAGTTACTAATGTAAATATCCAGGAGCATAGGAAGTTAACTTAATTTTGTCTTCAAGTGTTAGTTTTTTTAAGGATTTGAATGACTCCATGTTAGATTTCATCATCAGTCGAAATCATTTAGGGTAAATAAAAATCAGGGAGCACGAGACAACTGCATACACCCATAACCTTACCAGTGATCAAACCTGTGACCTGAAGATTAAGAGGTAAGCTTTCTTCAGTCAGTCAGTTTGACAGATTCCAGTGGCCTAAGAATTCTAATTTCTGCCAATATACAGTACCTGCAGCTACTGTCAGTCAATGTTATCGGTGAGTATCTATCCCCACACCAGACATCTTGAAGCCTATTGACCACGACTTCCTACTGAAACTCTAGTAAGTCCATTCCGTAATCATTCACTAATAAACTTTCCTTCAAATTTTTTTCACCATCAACCTTCTTCTTTTTCTTCGTCTTTGTTTTAGGTATTGTTTGTCTTGATCGATTAGAAGATATTTTGAAAATTGTTCAAGGTACTGTATTTCTTGCTGAAGCACGTTATATTGTACAGAAATATATTGAACGACCATTATTGATATATAAAACAAAATTTGATATACGACAATGGATCTTAGTAACTGATTGGGCACCATTAACGGTATGGTGGTATCAAGATTGTTACTTGAGATTTTGTTCTCAAGAATTCACATTGGATAATTTCAGTGAGTAAGTTTAACTCAAATTGTAATAATAAATACTGTTCAGTTTTTATGAAGTATTGAAGTGATTGTAATTTAATCTTGAATACAGGTACAATTCCGTAACGAAGATAAACCTTATTCAAAATTTTCAAAAGAACGGATACCGAACAAAGAGTACTCTTTTCGATAACTTCATCATCAGGCTCCACAGTTATATATACGTTATAGTGAATGAATGAATTAGTGTTATGAACAACATTAATGTTGTTTAAATAACATCGAATCAATAATATTGATAGATTACAAGTGAATCGCATCAATATAAAATAAGCTGAATGTCAGAAGAATTAGGCAGGATAATATTACAAATTCATGAGTTTATAGCTTCCACTGAATAAATATTGAAAATTGTACTTTCAAATCATTGTGTGTTTGTTATATTCCAATTCAGTTTGATCAAAAAGCTTTAAGAAGGTAAGACGGTGAAGAACAAGAAATGAGTAATCAATACTAATTGAAGAGTGTGCTTGACATAGTGTGAGAGACTAATCCTACTTCCATTTCCACCCATATTCACATAATTTAAATTAGATTTAGTGTTGAATAGTTGATTAAGGAAATCAACAGATATTTATAGATTTTTATGTACATTACTATAGTTTATTGTAGGCAAACAAACAATCTGATTGGTTGTTTTCTTGCTCAAGGTCATGTTGTTCTGCTTGTAGCCATTTCTCAGGAGGTTAAGCCATTAATCTACGAATCATATTTGCACACGTTAAATCTTCTATGATTGGTTTTTGAGTTCCTCAAGGTTAAGCTTTGTTATTGTTTTTTCTCATGATCCCGATTCGGGAAGTAAACATTGACGTAAATCGTTGTCTAGAATTTCGGCTTGTAGACAGTTCTTACTACACTTCAACCTAACGCACCCCGCAAAGTAATAATGAAGCAATAGCTTATATTCTACTTAGTAAGAGGAAATAATTTCAGCCACAAAAATCAATCTCTCACGTTTTGCAAATTTTCATATGTCATTATAATTATGAAGCATAAATATAATGAAACAATAATGGATTGAGATACACAAGACTATGAACAATTAAATGAAGGTTATTAAAAATTTTAAGAATGCAATACACGACAATTAAATAAATACATCGTTATAAGCGATTTTAGGTAACGTTAGAAATTGTCCACTCAGACAGGAAATCTACAACTCCCCACGTAGTTCAAACCAACAGTGGATGTCTTAGTGGACAGGTGCCATGTTTGAGAGTAACCACTCGTGACTCTTTCTCAAAGTAATTCTGTTTCTCCAAATACTGATCGTACGGAAATGCAGTGCCTTGGCATGCATAGCACATGTCCTGGCCAACCTAAGAGATGGGGCTTCACAACCTTATCAACAAACTTTCTATCCTTATCCTAAGCTCAAGCAACTGAATGAAACACCTATAGAAAAACCGCCCATCTTTTTCTGTCATCCACCTCAAACGGATGTGTTTCACAGTGATAAAGTAGTATGGAGAGAATTGTTGCGCAGTAAAAGGTAATCAATCATTGCACTTGCATCAAAGAAGATGAACAAAGAAAGTGACAAACAAGCCTCTTTTATCACTATTTCTGTCATAAATGGTGTTGCAGCTGCAAGTATTTGAAGATGTAGACTTCAGGAAATTCCTCAAAAATCTGAGGCTTTTGCAAAACTGTTTGGTCCGCAGGTTTCCTGTTAAAACTTTCAGCAGGTTAGATGAAGGAGACGGTATGAGTAAACACCATCAAGCAGATGACTTCTGAGTTCAACAGCAGGATAAATAGGCAGTAAACGGTGCAGTGAGTTATGAAACTGAAACTTGATCCTTTAGTAGGTCTGCATTTTTGATGGTAGTGATGACTAGTCTTCGTGGACGTACACTGAACACCTTGGAAGAGTATCTACACGGGAAGATACAAACCTATCCATCCATGGAATGTGTTCCTACCACTTCAGCCAATCAGCTACTGTTAAGAAATGAAGTTCAACTAATAAACGTCAACCAGCTGGTCAGGGTTATGAGATATTTAGTGAGTTCAACAGTGACACCTTGAAAAAGTCAGAAAGAATAGTTGATGGGTGGGAGAAATTAAGCTGCACGTGTTGCCTATTTAAACAATAGTGATGCAGACTGTTTGGATCTACGACCAGATTGCTGATGATCATTAATGGAAGAAAATTACCGAGATAAAACATCCTATGCCATCAGCCAGCTACAGCATAAGTTTTTAAAAATGGCTTGTGGACTGTCATGTGCGTTACTAACATTCAAGAAAATAATGAATTCATTAGGAAGGAATTTGAAGAACTTTGAAGTATATGAACGTAACTGGGTTATACATATATGTGTATATATAACATTTCCTTTCTCTACCTTCCTGTTTACTTTCTTGAAGTGTGGTGAAGTAGGCTGATGAGCTTCTGCAAACACCCCTACCTTTTTAAGTCAGTCATTCAGTCTTTCATTATTCATGTACATATGAATAAGTTAAATTTTTAAAAATCGAATCTTACAATAAGTAATCTAATTCTGTTGACATACGAACCTGTTTATTTTGCATAAATTCACACAATACAATACGCTATTACACAATCACACCATTATTGTTGTTTCTTCTCTTACTACTACTGCTACTACTATTGTTCTGTTTAGGGCAATACATCTTTGTAATAATTGTATACAGCATAAATATAAAAATGGGCCTAGATCATCTGAATTACCAGATGAAAATATGTGGACATGGGAACAATTTCAAACATGGTTATGGTAGGTTGAATACAACACTTTTATGCGTGAATTATTGTGATTCCCTATTTCATTTAAAACAAGCAATAAAGGTTTATAAAACAGGATTTATTGAATTCATCAAATTTCGGTAGAACTCTTCCTCAGCTGAATACTCTACATACACGGATGTATATATACCTTTGAAATTACATTGGGAGATATAAGACTGATAAGTGAGCAAACAAACTACATTGAATCAGTCATGCAGAAAGACAAGTGCGAATGTTTTCCAAGAGCGTTTGCCAAAAGGGTTGAAAACAACTGAGTGCAAAGTGCTAAAATCCTGAATAACAAAACATCTTGTGGATTGCGGATATGATATCGATGCGGCCAAGTCATTCACTATTGTCAGCAGACAAAGAAACAAGAAGATGCTTGCAATCGCAGAAGCTAGTGCAATTCTGGTTTATAAACTAGGCCTCTGTGTACAAAAGGAGATGGTCATGACTCTGAATTTACCATGGTAATACGTTTTACTTATTATTCTACCTCTTATTATTATTACCATTATTATTCTTGATACATTTAAAACTATCCTTTATCAGTAGGATTATCTTAACTCACTTCAACACTATTATTATTATGTAACAACAGAAGACAAGGGCCAGGCAACAGATCCTTTTATTATGAAAATCAACATGTATTTATATATATTTCACATACATTATTATAGCTTATGCAAGTAGGCAAGCGCAGTCATCTGATTGGTTGTTTATCAGAAGTTAGGCAGACAAACGCAGGCTTCGGATTGGTTGTTTAGGGATTCCTCGACAAATAGAGTTCTCTATCTGCGAATCATATTTTGCCACGTTAACTTTGCTGTGATTGGTTATTGAATCAGCCTTGCTCATATTTTCTCACGGCCTGCTCTCACCACAATTATTGTTGTTATTATAACCATTACTATTGATATTACTCTGTTTGCAATTCTTGTTATATTCTCTAATGTCTAATTGTTTATCTAAGTGGTGTAATTGAAGCATAATGCAATTTATCTATCGTACTCTCTCTCCCCTTATCTATTTGGACATGACCTGGAAAACACTCGCACTTGTCTTTCTGCATGACTGATTCAATGTAGTTTGTTTGCTCACTTATCAGTCTTATATCTCCCAATGTAATTTCAAAGGTATATATACATCCGTGTATGTAGAGTATTCAGCTGAGGAAGAGTTCTACCGAAATTTGATGAATTCAATAAATCCTGTTTTATAAACCTTTATTGCTTGTTTTAAATTCTTGTCGGGAAATAAATGTTTTCAACTCTATTTTATTGTAGTCAGTATATTAAAAACAAAAAATCTGTCAGATTAATATATGAATCCATCGTATGTATGGATGAATTTAAATCAGACTGTAGAAGAAATTTCGACTTTTTCTGTGGACATATATTACCGCAAAAATTTTTGCCTCAAATACTAAAGTTTCAACCATAAAGCTATTGTAGCCTTCTCTACATTGTGTCGAACATTTTACTTGGAGCCGTCGTACTCCTTAATAGTCTATCTCACTTTTAGTATATCATGTGTGGACCTTATTAGATGGATATATCTGTATTCGCAATAAGCGATGGTCTTCCCACTGAGGCTCGGATGCACTAGCTATCATTTTAAATGCTATTGTAGTGTCCTCTAGCCAAATACACCAATGGGGTCTTGGTTTTATATTTTTTTATTTGTTGAAATTGTTGATTTGCATTTCTCTGTTGACTGACAAAGCATTTCAATCCAGTTGAATCAATCAAACCCCTCGAAAATTTATCTAATGCTAAACTAGTAACTGACTATATGGTGAAGATGCCTCAAGTTCTTGTAAGAAATCACAGTCAGTAGGATCCACCACTGGCTAGTTGCGAGGATAAATACTATCTAGTGACATTGGCTGATGATAGTGCTATATACATCGCAAAACGGCGGAAGTTTAGAACTCATGAAGTGACCATTAGATTTCGTCTTAGTGGCTAGATGGTCAACAATATCGCCAAATAACCTGAAGGTCCTTGGTTCAATCCCTAGAACAAAACAGCTTTCCAGTACTCCTTGCTGGCTTTCATTGGCTCTTTAACTGAAGTCAGCCTGTGATCAAACTTAGAGAATTCGAAACAACACCTTCGATACATCATGTGAAATAAGTCTGCTTTATGATATTCTGAACTTAAGATTACCTTTTACGAAATGGTGAAAAAAATGTAGAGTTTTCGAAAGTTCCGATCAGTCTCTGAATGTTAATTTGAGGTGTGTAATCAAATATAGATTTTGCGCGTCGGTGGCACAGCGGTTGGGAAGCTTGCCGACCATGCACATGGTCCGGGGTTCGATCCCCAGCCGACGCGGTCCTTTACCACTCTGAGCCAGAAATAAAGCTGATAAAGAGGAAATGTTGGGCATGAGGCTAGCAACCCCATCCTATAAAAAGAAACACTGCTACAAAAGCTTTGACGCTCTAGCTTGAAGCCCTATGTTCCACAGGGGAACATGAAGGAAAAAAATCATTTGATTAATTAGTAGTAATGACATTGTCGATGAGATAACACTTTCAGTAGGTGACAGTAATACAAATGAATCGAGTCTTACTCTCGAAATTTCTGTCAGTCTTTGCTTGTTTATTTACACCTCACCACTTATGACGTTAATTTTCACCTTAACAACTTGTTTTATAATTGTTGCTTCTCTTTTGAAATGTGGCATTTTGAATTATTATTTGACCTAAACTAAGGTTAAAAAGGCTGTCAATTGGTTCAACCGGTAAAAAATCTGCTGTAAAACATACGCTGAAATTATATGATGAAAAAGATGAACATTGGAGAAAAAGATATTGAATCAAATGCTTTAAGTGACTGTGCTGAATTTTTAAGACCCAACCTTAACTTCATAATTGATCGGTTTACTGAAATTAATCTGTCATCTGAGCTGCCCAGTGGGTGCGTAATGATGAAGAGTCCCAAACTGGGACGAAACAGTTGTCCAGTACTCCCTGGCAGGTTCTCTAACCGATGTCAGCTTATGAAGAAATCATGTGACCAATAAAATCCCTACAAACCAACACTTGAAATTCGATGAGATGCTTACTAGCGACTTGCCCTATTCAGGTAGGTAGTTACCTGGGGTTCTGGTGAGAAGTCGTGACCAGTAGGGTACAGCAAGTAGGGTGTGAGGACAAATACTCCCCGAAGACATTGGCTAGGGGTCGCGCTATATCGTGAATTGGCAGAAGTTAGAATTCATGGGCCATTGGATCGGGTCCCAGTGGCTCAATGATATATGAGCTCGCCTTGTAACTAGAAGGTCCTAGGTTCAAACCGTGGCGGTGGGTGCGTACTGCTGAGGATTCCCAAATTAGGACGAAACAGCTGTCCAGTACTCCCAGGTTTTCCAGTGGTTCTCTAACCAATGTCAGCTCATGATGAAATCTTAAGAAATTCTTCAAATAAGAAGATTGATTGGTCCGAAGCAACTAATTGTTTAATAGTAGATGATTGGTTATGGCTGTAACAGCCCACAAAGGCAATAAAGTATTTTTGAGGTTAATATTGTGTAACTTTCACACCACTTGTCCTACACAGTGTCATCTTAGTGTAAACGTAATAATTTATATTCATTTCAGCTTTTCTTCTATTTTCAAGTATTGGTTTTGTGGGGATTTTGTTCGATTGCATAAAGGATTTCATCATGAGCTGACATCAGATAGAGAACCATTGGAAAACCTGGGAGTACTGGACAGCTGTTTCGTCAGCCTAGTTCGGGAATCCTCAGTAGTACGCACCCACCGGGGTTTGAACCCAGGACCCTCTGGTTACTAGGCGAGCTTGTAGACCATTGAGCCAGTGGGACCCGATCCAATGGCCCATGAATTCTAACTTCTGCCAATTCACGATATAGCGCGACCCCTAGCCAATGTCTTCGGGGAGTATTTGTCCTCACACCCTACTTGCTGTACCCTACTGGTCACGACTTCTCACCAGAACCCCAGGTTGACTGCCTGAATAGGGCCAGTTGCTTGTGAGCATCAGATTAATTTTCAAGTATTGTTTTGTCACGTGTGACTACTTTTCACTGTTCTAACTCTATAACCCTTTCGCTTAAGGCGTAATATTGCTTGGTCCACTGTAAATGGTATCGAAATATTAACCTCATTGTAAGTGTAGGCTAAGAAAAGATGGGAAAAGCAACCGGTTTTACTGGTTGCTGAATCTTTGATCCCATGTCTTAAATGCCAGCTACTCAGTATACCCTTAAAGGCAAACAACAGGAAACGCTTTGAATATATAATTTCTCAAATAGTTCTATCCACTCATTCATATGAAGATCAGATGACAGGCCAGGGAGAACTAACAACAAAGAACTCTGTTTGGCAGCAAACCAACGAAGAAACCATCGCCAATCAGAGATGCCAAAGAAACTGGGAATGCAACGGATACACTCTGAGGCCAGGCCTTCCAATGGAACCCGAAGGAGAAACTATGAGCTGGTCCGTCACTTCGAGGGCTTTATGGAGGAGATCGTGTGAAGAGGAAATGAAAGACTATGAGGAATCGTGCAACCAGCTAAGAATGACCACACAGAACTTGGTGAAATGAAGATGTGCTGTTGAAGTCCTACATTCCACTCGGAAATCAAGGGAATAACAGGTAATAATACCCATTTATAAGGTCAATCTGTTCTTTTCCGTAAATGCGAATTTTTCCCATTCAACATAATGACTTGGTAAGCTTTTTCGGTGGTGATGATGATATCTAATGCCTGCCATTATTGAATCATTTGAACACTATTTCTCTATTTGTTGTTCAATTATTCTAGTAAACAAGGACATCCAAATATATGGAAAGAAAAAATTCAACCATCAATGAAAAGTGCTGTTTTGAATGCATTACTATCTGCACAGGAATTAATAGAGCCTAGGAAAGTAAGTTATGTGTTATCTGATTGTCTAAAATAACCCCTAATATCATGAATTAAATGTCAGTGTGAACGAAGAATACTCTTTTCGCGTTGGTGCGTAAGTAACTAAGTGGTAGAGTGCTCACCAACCATCCACAAGGTTCAATTTCGACTCCTGACCGACGGATTCCTAAACCTCATATAGCCGGTAGTAAGTCCGTCAAACAGGGTAGGTTGGATGTACGGCTGGCAACCCCATTACATAAAAACGACTCAACTGCTAATGGAACGTCAAGACTCAAGTGTGAGGTCTTATTTTGTACCTGGAATGCAATATATAAATATATATGAGCCCTGTAGGTATACAACGGATACATTTTAACTTAGAATATGATTACGGATATAAAATCATATGAGTTTCAAGTTGTAGGGTGTCAAGCTGAATATTGTTTATATGACAGATTTGGTGAGTTGAATGCAATTGGGAAATATCGTGAAATTGATGAAAATTATGATTAGTCATAATAAATTGATACAGTGTGGAGCAGAATAATGTGTATACTAATTCATGGTTAAACGTCTCAACCAATTTCAGATGTAATAATAATAATAATAATTTTTCCTTCACGTTCCCAGTGGAATATAGGGCTACAAGCTAGTGACCCGAAATTTCTGTAGCAGCGATGTTTCTATTTACAGGATGGGGTTGCTAGCCTCATGCCCAACCTTTCCTCTTTACCAGGATTATTATTTCTGATTCAGTGAGGTAAAGGAGTGCGTCGACCGGGTGTCGAACCCCAGACCATGTGCATGGTCGGCGAGCGTCTTAACCGCTATGCCACCGACGCACAGATGTAATGGTTTGGAAAAGATTGAACTTTGGATGTATGATGTTCATTTTTATAAAAGATATCTGTCCATTCTTAACTAGGCTGGCGCATGTATTCGAATCCAGATTCAGATGATAAAGAATCATGCGCTCTTAAAGGCTGTGTCAATCTTTTTTAATGTGTAACCCTCAAGAGATCTAATTTCTCTTTGAAAGCGCTCACCGATGAAGTTGATATCACTTGATTAGGTAAGAAGTTCCAGTCGTTGATCATCTTATGGGAGAATCTAAATTCCACACGTACTTTATTACTCCGTGGTTTGAGCACCTTTTTGTGATGACCTCTCAAAAGTATCCTGGGAGGATAAAAAAAGGTTAAAATAGTTAATACTAAAATCCCCGTTCCATATACAATATTCCGAATTTAACTCACATCTTCTCCTTCGGCTGGATAGTGAGAAGAGGTTTGGTCTTCTCATAAGGAAGGTTCCTACTCTTTATACTCTTTCCAAGACTCGTCCAATCTAGTAAAAGATGCGTACGCTTTCTAAACTAGGCCGCCAAATGTTTTTGAATCCGTAGATGAACCTACTCAGTAGTGCTCTCTAGTTAACTTAGTGCACATTATTGACTAAAACAATTTTGTAATTTGTAACAATTTGTAATCTTAAATCTTCCCTCGCATGATACGTTAAAATATGCCTACCAAATACCTATCTGGCTATTATTATAATGATAACAAATATTTTATGACTGTAGGAACCTCAAGAGAATTATTGAAAGGAGTATTCCTCTTTCCGACCGATTTTTAATCTAATTCATTTTTTGCTGTTTACACTATCCACGACGCTGTGTACTTCTTTTCTTGATTTCCGTTCATGGTATCAAGCAGATGGATGACATATATTCTCAGCTAAATGATATCTGTTTCCAAAGAAAAGCTGTGGTGAAGTTTCACCTCGTGAACTTGCAAATCGTGAATTATAGTAACTATATTAAAATACCTCGCCAGATACTAGCTTACTAGGCTGCTAGCTTACTAGTTTTCTCGCCGGTCCCAAGCCCGGGTAAAGAGGGAGGGTTGGGGCGTGGTGCTAGCAACTCCACCCCTGTAAAACAACCAAATCGCTACAGAAACTTCAACGAATAAATATATTAAAAATTCTAAAAACATAAGCAATAGCCTTACTTTTCGCTGGAATCGGGGAAGTGAAATGACGCAGGCTGGTGAAAGCCTTCGGGAAGCCAGTCAGCCGATGTGCCTTCTTTCGATGAAAGCAAAAGTAAGGATGGGTACCTGGAATGTTCGCACAATGTACGAAACTGGAAAGGCTGCCCAGATAGCCGCTGAAATGAGAAGGTACAGAATAGAAGTGTTGGGAATCTGCGAAAGCAGATGGAACGGAACTGGAAGGTGCCAACTACCTACTGGAGAGACAGTAATCTATTCCGGCCACCTAGAGGACAACCATGAGCACACCGAGGGAGTGGCCATCATGATGTCACCAACAGCAACCAAAGCTCTCATGCAGTGGGAACCAATCTCCTCCAGGATAATGACAGCCAGGTTCAACTCAAAAGGAAGGAAAGTTACAGTCATTCAATGCTATGCGCCTACAAACGTCTCAGAACAAGAGAAGAAGGAGGCGTTCTACAGACAACTACAAGCAATAATGGACAACGTCCCAAATGGCGATATCAAAATCCTGATGGGCGACATGAATGCGAAGCTGGGACGAGACAACACAGGAAGAGAACTCACCATGGGTCGTGAGGCCCTCGGTGAAATGAACGACAATGGTGAACTCTTCTCAGACTTCTGCGCCTTCAATGATTTGGTGATTGGTGGTAGTGTGTTCAAACACAAGGATATACACAAGACGACATGGATTTCACCAGATGGAAACACCAAGAATCAAATAGACTTCATCTCAATTTCAAGAAAGTGGAGACGGAGCCTACTGGACACAAGGTCAAGGAGAGGAGCAGATGTGGGTTCAGACCACTATCTAGTAGAAGGGACTTTCAAGGTGAAACTAAAAGCCTCGAGGATAGCTGGGGATAGGCCACAATGCAAGTTCAACACTCAGAAACTGAAGGACACAACCACAAAAGACACCTTCACTGCAACTGTCAGAGCAAAGCAGGAAACACTACGCGACATCACTGAAGAATCATGCGTGGAAGAACATTGGAAGTCTCTGAAGGCGATTCTCAACGAAACGTGTTCAACGGTTCTAGGAAGAAAGAAGAGACAAGACAAGGAATGGCTCTCAACGGACACTTGGAAATTAATAGAAGAGAGGAGAATGGTGAAAGAGAAAATGATTCAATGCAAGGACGGACAGGAGAAGGAGACGATGAGCTCAACTTACAAAGCACTGGACAAAGAAGTGAAGAAGAGTGCTAGGAAGGACAAAAGACGATTCTACGACAACCTGGCCACTGAAGCTGAGAAGGCAGCAGGCAAAAGGGACCTGAGGACACTATATCAGATAACCAAATCTCTATCCGGGAAGAGACCAACACAAGCGAAACCTATAAAAGACAGCCAAGGGAAGCCCATTACCAAGGAAGAAAAACAGATTAAACAATGGGCGGATCACTTCAAAGGACTCTTGAACCGACCATCACCTGCAACCCGTCCAGAAATACCAACAACAGCGCGCACACAACTGCAAGTTGACACCAATCCTCCAACGAGAGCTGAAGTCTTGAACGCAATCAAGCTTCTGAAAGCTGGAAAAACAGCCGGACCAGATGGAATACCCCCTGAAGCACTGAAAGCAGACCCAGAGACTACAGCAGACATGCTGACTCCATTATTGCAAAAGGTCTGGAAGGAGGGAAAGGTGCCTACTGACTGGAGGAAAGGTTACCTCGTGAAACTACCAAAGAAGGGCGACTTAGGCCTCACTCTGCAAGAACTGGCGAGGAATCATGCTCCTATCGACGCCAAGTAAAATCCTGAGTCGCATCATCCTGGAGAGATTAAAGGACGCACTGGAGACAGAACTCCGACCAGAACAAGCTGGATTCAGGAAAGGCAAATCATGTACTGACCAAATTGCAACTCTACGCATCATCATCGAACAAAGCATGGAATGGCAATCAAACCTCTACCTCAACTTTATAGACTTTGAGAAGGCCTTCGACAGCGTTGATCGTGAAGTAATTTGGAAATTACTCGAGTACTATGGCGTACCCCAAATATTCATCAACCTTATTCAACAGCTGTACGACAACGGCACCTGCCAAGTGATCCACAACGGAAGACTCAGCGAGGCGTTTGGAGTAAACACAGGAGTCAGACAAGGGTGCTTACTATCACCAATGATATTCCTAATTGTGGTGGACTGACTGGATTATGCGTCAGACAGTGGGAAACGAGAAGACAGGAATATCCTGGACCGACGTGAAGAACCTAGAAGACCTGGATTTCGCGCGTGGATGACTTATGTTTGATGTCACACACAATCGAAGACTTACAAGCGAAAACCGACAAACTGGTCGAAGAAGCAGCCGGCGAAGACAGGACTCCAGGTAAACATAGACAAGACGGAGGTTATGAAAATAACCAACCAACAACAGCAGCAACATCCAACGTCAATCACCATCAACGGGAGGGATTTGAAAGAGGTTACTTCATTCACTTATCTAGGGAGCATTGTCTCAACTACAGGAGGAGCGGACGAGGATGTCAAATCGAGAATCGGGAAGGCGAGAAACACATTCATCAACCTGAAATCAATCTGGAAATCTTCGTCACTCAGCATCATCAACAAAATTCGGATTTTCAATACAAACGTAAAGTCAGTTCTTCTATACGGATCAGAAACTTGGCGGGTCACAAAGAATATTTCCAACAGCTGTTGCAGACCTTTATTAACAACTGTCTTCGCTCTATACTGAAGATCAGATGGCCGGAAAGAATCACCAACAAGGAATTATGGGAACAAACAAAACAAGATCCAATCGCCCAACAAATATGCAGGAGAAAGTGGAGATGGATTGGACACTCGCTGAGAAGACCGCTGGGTGACATCGCGCGTCAAGCCCTCGAGTGGAACCCGAAAGGGAAGCGGCGTATGGGTTGTCAGTAGAGGGTGACATGGAGGAGATCGTGTGAAGAGGAGTTGAAAGAATATGGACTAACATGGATGGAGGTTAAAAGTACAGCAGAAGACATAAGCAAA